GCCGGACGATCCCTTACCTCGCTCGCTGGGGGACCGCTCCTCCCCTTTCCTCCTTTTGGCTGGGGCGCCTGCTCTTCCTGGCCCGCGCCTCGCCGGCTCCCCTTTATAGGACGGTTTCAAGCCCCACCCAACTGGGTGACTGCAAACTACCCGTTTCCCGAAACCAAGGAAAGGGTCTTCTATTGTTTTTTGCTCCAAAGAACGCAGTAGGGCTTATTTTTAGGGGATGCCCCCCCCCCGGTACAACAACCTACATTTATTCAAATACAGTCATGTCATCTTCAGAGCACCTTACCATAGTCTCTGGAGACTGAAGGATGACTACATGTCACTATCTTCTGGTTGCTGCACAAGGGTGGAGGGCAGGGTTTCACTGAACTGGGGCGCCAACCTGGGGGGGGTCCCTCTTCCCCCCAGCAAAAGTTCTGTCCCTCAGTGGCTCTGCTCAGCTCTTGAAACTCAGGGCTCCGATCACTCTTATGGGGGTCAATCCAACGCACGTTGGGGGTCTTCCTCTTTTCCTGCTGCCTTCCAGCTTTTTGAGGGAACCCTGCTTTCTCACGAGGTGCCCAAAGTGAGAGCTTCTGTGCCATGATTTTTTAATGAAACCTCCAGAGATCTTTCAGGCTTGTTTTGATCTAGAACCCACTTGTTTGTCCGCCGGGCCGGTCATGGATGTTCAGAAAGCTCTCCTTCAGCACCAGGCGTTGGAGAGGAAATGGGACCACCCTCTGTCAGATCTCCTTTGATTTGGAATCCTGCCTTGACCACAGCGTTGGAATGGGTCTCCTTGTAAGCCCTTTCCAATTCAGTGATTCAATGATTCTATATTTAGAGCAAATCAGTTTTTTTGCCCTGTCAGACATCTTGACTGTCCACACCTGTACATAGCAGTTGGGAATACAATACTCTGGATGATCTTTGAACGGGTCTCCAGGGATACATCTTTCCACTTGATGATTTTTCCGGTTCCTGCACTGCTGCCCTTCCGAGTCTGGGTCTTCTGATTTCTCGGATCCAGTCCCCATGCGGATTGATGATTAACAATTGAACCCAGGTATGCAAATTCTTTTAACATTTTCAATTCATTCTTTCTCAGTATTAAAGTTGCGTACGTCTGTAGTCATGATTTTCATTTATCATACTTCTCTGAACTGGTTCTGTCTTCCTTAAATCTGTGGCGTCTAGAACTGAATGCGGTGCCCAACTCTTGTCAGTTCGGGATAAAGTGGCATGATTACAAATGAGATGTTCAAACACTTGGTCTAGCAATGACCCCTAAACTGTGTGCCAATTAATTACTTGTTTTGCAGCGACATGTTGCTGCTTAGTTATGTCAGCTTGCAATTTACAACAGTCCTGGAAGTCATATTGCAGATACCTTTCCTAATTCAGATAACTGGCATTCTTTCACCATTCCTTTGTGAAATGCCCCCATAAAGCAGAAATACGTTTTTTTTAATCTCTACTGAATATTCCTCACTATGATCTTTATCTCAATGGTTTCTGACTCTGGTCATGTTAGTTATTTCTCCCAGCTGTCAGTTTTTTTTAAATTATATTTATTTATTTTTAGTCATCAGCACATATGTTAAGAATTCCTTCTGAAACATTGATTAAAAATGCTGGACATACACCCTGGCCAAAGCCAAGCCTGACCTTGATCCCATAGCCAACAATTTTGCCAAATGTGTCACTGAAATGAGGACAGATTATGAGCAAAGCATTTCCGCAAGAAGGGAAAGAAGTAAAATTCGTATTTCGACATATCCAAATGTCATTTTCCGAACATTTGCACTGACAGCTGTATCATGGACAGACTTCCTCTCATCCTTTTTTAAGCCTTTAAAGCAGTATCAGCAAGAAACATTCAGAGAGATAATTGTAACAGTAGGTTGATACCTCTATTGGACCTCTAAGAAAATGAAACGAATTACAAACCTTCGTGGCAAAAATCCCGCTTCATCAGGCTATGCGCCAGCCCTTCAGGGAGAGGCTGTTCATGTAAGAAGCCGCAAGAGGGACTCCCAAGCCCGGTGGGAGAAAAGACACATGCCTTGTTTGCAAAAAGTGCCTGCTTTATTCCATTGTATCTTCAGGATAGAAATAATACTGATTCAACAAGTGGTCTGTTTACTACAGTGGTCAATCCATTCAGAATGTGGTGCCGGAGGAGAGCTTTGAGGGTATCGTGAACCACCAGCAAGACAAATAATGGAGGCTGCCTAAAGCAAAGCAAGCTTCAATTCTTTCTGGAAACAAAAAAGAACTCTACGGAGCCAGATGGGTTTCTCTCTCTCTCTCTCGGCAGCACATCTTAATATTTGAGTGTCGCAGAGAAGTTGAGAGCAATATTGCCAGTAGTTTAAACCTTTTTTTCATTTTTAACTGTTTGTATCCTTGTTAATTAAGTTGGTTTAATTTGGAACCACTTTGTTATACTACGTATTCTCACTCTACTCCCAGTACCAAGAAGCACATCTTCTTCTTGGTGATTAATCTGGTGATTAATGATGTGGTGATTCATCTGACAAAATATTCTGTCTTGCCTGGTTTATATCTCATGGTTTTTAACCCAGATCATGTGACCAGCTGGTTACCACATATACCGGTTTGATGCAAAGCTGGTGACATGAATCATGACAGATGTTTCTAATCTATTTTGATAACACAGTGCTCTATGCTCTAGAACAGCAGTTCTTAACCTTTGTTACTCGGATGTTTTTGAACTGCAACTCCCAGAAACCCCAGCCAGCACAGTTGGTGGTAAAGGCTTCTGGGAGTTGCAGTCCAAAATTCCTGAGTAACCCAAGGTTAAGAACCAGTGCTCTAGAAGACTTATGTCAGTTAGAACTTCAAAGCAAAAAGCAAAGCGTGCTGTTTATCTACCATCCCATAGCACTTCAAACACTCTCTGGGCAGTTTACAAGTTTATTATGCTGGCTACACATTGCCCCTTGTGCCCCCCCCCAGCAAGCTGGGTACTTATTTTACCGAGCTTGGAAGGATGGAAGGTTGAGTGAACCTTGAGCCAGCTACCTGGGATTGAACCCAGATCGTGAGCAGTTTTGGCTGCAGTACCGCATTTTAACCATTGCGCCACGAGGTCGTGAGCACAGTTTTGGCTACAGTACCGCATTTTAACCATTGCACCACGAGGCCCCTCCGCTGGGGAATTCTGTGCATGCTTACAAAAGAATGTATTATGCTGACCTCCTGAGTCTTGCATTAAAATTGCACAAAACTGTAAATTTAGCTGAGTCATTCCTTTGGCCCTCAAGATGGTTCACGGACGCCACTTCACTTCGCTTTCCCTCTCCAAATGGTTTGGCTGGGCAACATCTGCTTCCCTGCCAGGCTGGCTGTGGGTCCAGTGCCAAAGCGGAGGATAGACTACACCAAAAGGGATATAATCATGCTTAATCATGCTACAAAAAAAAAACAAGTTGAATGGGCCAGGCTTAGCTATCCTGCCCTTGACCGAAAAGCAGCATTTCGTTTGAAAGTTTGAATCATCAGGCGTAGGAAAACCTTGTCATTCTTTATTTTTTTTACTGGACTTCACTCTCTTGAAGGCAGAATACATAATGCATTTCAAATACATAAGGAAAAAAAATCACATCTGCAAATTTTCACAGGCTTTCTTTAGGACTTAGCTTCATTCACATTCATAGTCAGCTGTTTTATGTCAGTCGCGGGCGGGCGGGGGGCAGATTTCAGCTCTGACTTCTGTTAGATGTACCTTCTATTAGATGTGCTTTCTATAAATCTGTTTCTAAGGCTGATAGCAGCAGAAAACACCCCCTTTTTAAAAGGGACGTGAGCTAACCTAGGGAAGCAATTTATTACCCAAAAATCAGGGTAAACATATAAAATAAAATAATAAAGTGCCTTCAAATAGGTTGGCATCAGCTTCATCCTCAGAAGAGGGCCCAGTTAGGTAAGCCACGAGACATTAATACTGTAGTTCAAATCAAGGAGGATCACTCTGGTCTCCTCAATATGGTAGTATAGAGATTAGATACAGTACAGCTATATTTGTGCAAATAGTCACAGATCTTGACTGTCATGCGTGATGATTACTGCTTTCATTTATTTTAAAAATCTGCATTGCCAATGTAAATATTCAAGGCAACTCACATCATAATACCCAAATGTGTTAAAAAGAGGACAAATTATAGTACATAAAGCAGAAAATAAACTAGCAGCAATAAATTAATCTTGGCTCTTTCTCTGCTCATAAATCATGTGTACAAAGAGCACCCCATTAAAGTATACGTGTGTATCTCTCTCTCAAAACCAGATGTGTTAGGTTTTTACAGGGTTAATGGCTCAGATAGTGTGGCAGAAATCCAGTTGTGCAATGTAGTAAGTGGCACCAGAGTAGGTACATGGAATCCGTGGAAATTGGGAAAGTCAAAACCTCCATCACTTTCATTAATCCAAATAGCTCTAATCCATTTGACCCAATATGCTAAAGTAAGCAGCAACTGGACATTTGAAACAACGAAACGTAGGGATTTTTAGAAGATGCAACCATGTTTATCTGTGCTGTTGGTTTGTTTACCCCACCTTTCTCCTTTACAAGAACCCAAGGCAGCTTACATCAATAAAAGCCAATATTTAAAACTAAAAACAAATACTAAAAGGATCGAATAAATACCACACTAAGAAATGGTCAACTAAAGCAATGCGAGAAACATATTCAAAGCAGTTAACCATCCATTAAAAAAACCACACTCAGGTAGCCAGCCCCTGAAGAGAAAGGTCTTCACCTGCTTTAGGAAGGACAGCAAGGATGGGGCCAGCCTGCTCTTCCTGTAGGAAGGAGCCCCAAAGTCTGACCACTAGTGATTCACTCCACTAAGCAACAGGATTTCGGTCAGTGAGGGTACAGGAAAAGGATGCTCTGTTACTGACAGTAACATGACTAATTTTGAGCTTGAAACCAATCATTTTTGTGGCATGCAAAGAAAAGCTGGTCTATGGCTGACCGATTTTAAGCAAACATCAAATTATAAATAAGTCATGGATTTTTAAGCCACGGGTTTACCGGAAATTTCGTTATAACAGGGTGAGCCAGAACAGCAATCATAATTAAAACAGGACTAGAGGTATGGCATTGTCTTCCCATTCATAACAATTATTTCCTGCAACTATTATTTACTTCATTGCACTGTATAGTGTTGCAAGTAAAAAGAAAAAAGGGATCTCTTAGTTGTAGATATTATTTTGTTCAGTAGACCATCTCAGACACCTAAAGCTGAACACGTAAGGGGGGGGGATTAGGGAATAAATAGGAAGAGTGCCATTATTTGGCTGTCTAGCCACGTTGGACTACAAGCGTCCCCTTGTTTCAAAGAACTGAAACATTTGATGTAAAGTCTTCCAACCACCAGTCGTAATATTTCGGGTTTTATGGTGTGTGTCCTGCAGAAAGGCAGCATAGACTACATCCGAGCGCTTTCACTAGATAGCCGAACTATTTCAAATCAAACAGAAAGGTTAATTAACTTTATGAGGCAGGATCACAGAAGCAAAAATGCATTCTGTCATAAAAATTAAAAGGAGACCATTCGCATTTTTGACACTCCAGTCAAGTGGACCTGATATTTCTCTTAACATTCCCTCTAAGTTTTCACCAAAGCTAGGTGGGGACGCTTGCCCTGCCCACGTAGAGGTCCGGCCACAACCAGAACCCAATGGGCAGGAAGATGGGCTGTGGGTGTGTGACGATGCCCTGTTGCACGGCCGTGCACCCGCGCAGCTTAGAGGGAATGTTGCTCTTCATACACCTTTATGCAGGTACCATCCTACAGGCTCCTACGTGTCATTAAGTGCATGGAGACTGAAGGAGGGCTTCAGAAATGTGACGTTGGTAAAGTTCTTTCCCTAAGACTTGTCTATGCTTTTTTAGCACCAGACAATGAGCTCTTTCATTTTCCGCAGCTTTCCATTAAAATGAGTGGAACTCTCCTTTGTCCTGGAAAATCCACATCCTCAAGAGAAAAGTGGAATTGAATTTTGGAAATACATGACCTAAGCCCTGAATATTACAGTGCAGAAAGTTGCTTTTTAAGAGGGCATTAAGTCACACGACAGACGACCAATTCAGGAGCCGGACACCACCTCCCGCTCATTTTTGTGGCCCCCCCATCCCACCCTAAAACACAGAGTTTACCTCCATGAACCGTGATTCTCCTTTTAACTAACACCCACCACCACCACAAATATCTCTTCCACATTTAAAAAATGTTTGTTTGTTTTTTTAAATGAGAAGCAGGCTTCTGGTTGCTTCCAATTTTGGCAGAAGGGGGTGGCGCCACCTCTCGTAGTTGGGATGGTGCGCAGATCATGGGTACCCAGGCCGTCTCAAGTTACTGCCCGGTCCCAAGTTACACTTTCAGTCTCATGGCCCCAAAAGTAGTTAGTTGCATGAAAACTTACAATTAAAAAACAATCATGTTAACCCATCATTTTTCTACCTAGTAAGAACAACTAGAGTGGTATAAATATACCAGATGGGCGGGATATAAATAAAATAAATAAATAAAATAAAATAAATAAATAAAAGTTACTTTTTAGCCATTCAAAAATACCACCTGAGTATTTCAACCTATTGATCTGTGGCGCAAAGGACCCTCAGACCTGTCCACTCTGTCGTAATCCAAGGCCCACAACATAGCACAAGGGAGTACATAAGGTGCAGCACAAGCTAGCACTTGAACCAAGCGATACTCATCCTCTAACATTTAGTAACACCACTCCCCATAATTACAGAACTAACTGTACACCTTTGTATGGTCATCATTTTTCTACCTAGTAAGAACAACTAAACATTCCTTTTTAGCCATTCAAAAATACTGTACCACCTGAATATTTCAACCCATTGATCTGTGGTACAAAGGATGCTCCTTCCTGTCCACTCTGTCATAATCCAATGCCCACAACAGAGCACAAGGCAGTCCCGTGAGGTGCAGCACAAACTAGCACTTGAACCAGGCAATACTCATCCTCTAACATTTAGTAAAACCACTCCCCATAACTACAGAAGTAACTGTACACCTTTGTACGGCTACGCTATACAAGGAGTGACTAATCCTTGTTAAGTTCTAGATGTAACTTTAGTTATGCCTGAGCAACTTCAAAATAGAGATTCAAGTGATTAGTTATCTGCAACTCTTTGTTTCCAAAGCTTTGACTTCTGTGCAGGATTAAATCAACAATCTAAGCGCGTGGCCTATTTTAAGCAAGCAGAGATTGGGTTTTCATATGGTATTGCCATGGAAACTCACTGGAGAACTGGCAAAGCCAATCCTTAATATCTCACTTACTTTGAAAGTCTTGATCATACCAAGGCCTATGGAGAGGAGGAGATGCCAAAGGGAGACCGCAAGGAAGATATAAATGCAACAGATCTCTCTCTGTGTCCCCATGCAACTGCTACTGGGAGACACTGCTTTCCATCAATTTTTTTCTAAACCGTCCACATTTTTGCAGTAGCAAATTCCAGTCAAGAAATGACATGTGTGGAAACATACACCATCTTCCAAGATCAGTGGATGACAATGATCAGTCAGATGTTTGAAAATATATATGTCTTCTACATATGTTGCAAAATTCATATGCCTCACTCCCAGCCTACATATGTTCCACTTCACAGGTGACATAAGAACCACTGTTTACATGCCCTCGTGATCACAATTTACTTACCTGCAACTGCAGTGTCCAAGATCCAAGAGTTACTCTCAATCTATGCCATCCAGTTGAAACAAACTCTTAGAACACAGATCGTTTGTATTTCAGTTCTAAGGAGGCAGATTTACTCTCTCATATCAATGCATCATTACAACATTTGCTACCAATATGTATACAAATTTACAAAACGACAATCATTCTACAAATGCAAAAACTGTTTTATTTATATAAATTTATCCTAAATACTATCCACTTTTAGAAAATGGCATTTTTATTTTATTTTAGCAAAGAATTTTAATTTCGCAAAAAAAAGGTAGGGTATGAAAATGTAAAAGGACTACTAGTCTCTTGATCTGATTGACTTCAATTGCGCGCTCATCAATTCACTGCAACAAAACTGTTACTGTTAAGACATATTTTTGAAAATGGAAGCATCAGAAAATGTAGGCAGAACATAATCTCTTTTCTTCTTTTTCGATGTTAAGAACACAAAAGATCCCAAGAGGAATGGAAGTAAATTAATCTGAACACTGGAGGCTTGGTCCGGATGAGAACTGGCCAGGGTCACTTTGATCTCAACATCAGAAAAACCACCTAAGCAGCAGGTAGCCAACTTCCGTTTTTTCAGTTGCTTAAAACCATGTTTCCAAGAAAGCAGACTGAAGGAAGGTTTTTATAAAGAAAGCATAAAAACAAGAACTGTCCAAGAGCAGTACAGTCCGAAATGATTTAGGAATGACTTTTTGTACAATACTGATACTCATAAATATGCACACTGCTGGATGATTCAATAATGGCTCATTTTGGCTTGAACAGAGCCTAGAGGAGTCCATTCAGCTCCCTTGATGAACAAGCGAAGTGTAACGGCTGTGCCAAGTCCCCGTTCCAAAATATCTGGGTAATTATAATCTTGGAAATCATGCTGCTCCTCTCGGAAGATCTGACGATGACCATGTTTTGCCAAAAAAGAAAGCCACACAAGGAAGACAAAGAACCCCAGGGAAGAAGAAAAAAGCATGCCTGCTGGAAGGAAAAGCATGCCTTGCTTCTGTCCCACGTGTGAGCCATGAGTAATGTCTCCCTGGATAAGTGACTGGTGCTCTCCCTGTGAAGATCTTTCAGTGTGGATCTGGCCAATAAGACAGGGCTAAATGTCTCCTCTTGGTATCAGCTTGGCATCTCGGGCACTTCTTGGCAAACTGGGAGAGACGAACAGAAAACAACAGGAAGATAGCACATTGGCAGACGTTCCCCTTTTCCTGTAGGCAACTCTTCTAAAGCGCATCTTTAAGAGCGATTTGTCCCTCACCACCTCCCCTCCAGCTATTGAGACACAATACCAGTGGCTCCCAGAAATGTGGTTGCGATCCTATGCTCTGCCTCTGAAACGGCATCCTATGACGCCCGATTGTTTTCATGGTTTTGCCTAGAATGTTAAAGAGCCAAGGGCTAAGCTAAATGGGGCGCTAAACAAGTCACTGGCAGTCTCCATGATTTCGACAGCGATTGAAGCAAAGATAAGTGGCAGAATCCCCTGCCTTTCACATCAGAGGTCCAAGGAAAACAGGGCCTCCGCAGATGGCTCCTTTGGAATGGACAGAAGTTCATAGAAGAAAGATAAGATGCAATAAGAGGAAATCCAAAGCTTGTTCAAGGAACAGAAATGCATGGTTAATTTTGTGGGGGGGGGGACCCAAGTTACAGTAACAGCTTGATTTCCAGGATCCTGCTTCCTTTATGCAGTCCCTGTCTAGGAAACAAGGAAGCAAAATTATCTGAAGAGAGTAATAAGTTAACAGGTGAACTCTGTGATTCTTCTAGGTTGGAGGTGTTCTGACATTGTCTCATCCCTTTCCCGTTATGTCTGAGTCAGAAGCAACATGTTCTCAAACAACTAAATGTTTTTGCTATAAGGAAAAAATGTTACACTACAAAGCGGATCTGAAGGGCACAGGTTGCAAGACTCAGAGTACGGTCGGGGAGGAAAAAAGAGTGTGTGAGCATAGGCGAGCTGTAGAAAAGAAGGGTGCACTGGCAGGCCAAGCAGAAACAGAACACACTAATAGCTGAAGGTGACTTATTTAGTGATTAGCTGCTCAGATAAAATATTTTAACAGTATGCTTATGCCATGCCATGTCCTTGCTTGGACAGTGGAATCATCTTGCTTTAGGCCACTTTATATCAGAAGAATAGTTTTGAAATGTTTGGGCCTCACACCCCCTTTTTCATTTTTGAGGAACCGTCATGCTGCTCATCTCTCCTTTTGCCCTGATCCAAAATTTGGTTGAAAAAGATTTAAAATACAAAATAGTTTTTTTCTTGAAAACTGAATTTGAATGGTATCTATCAAAACTCATTAAAAAAAATTATCTGAAATTCAAAAATCTGCAGGTTTTCGTTGAGAAATCATGAACTCTTAATGATGCCTATCGCAAAAAAAATGTTTCAGCTTATGGAGATTTAATGGTCACAGAGTCATAGAATTGTTAAGTTGGAAGGGGGCCCATAAGGCTATCAAGTCCAACCCCCTAAGAGGGAAGTCCCTTGGTATTCTTTCCCCCTTCTGTTTGGGAACCAACCAGAATTACAACAATAGATAAAAATTCATAGAGGACGGCTCTTATAGCAATGGCTCGTCATGATAAATAAATGCAGTGGGAAGGAAGGGCCACATAGGGTGGCCAAGGTCCTCATACCCTGCTTGCGAATTTTCCAAGGTTAATTTACTGGTTTCCTTTTGCTATCTGATGCGGTTCAACAACTGTCATTGTAAGCAAGTTGTGAGCTTATCGTTGTAGCCCCAGGCCACAAGCCAAACAATACAAATGATAAAATGGAAAGCACCTAATGATTTAATGAAAACATCCCAGTACAGAAACAAGGCTTGAGACTACATTTTTGTCAATCGTCTAGCAGGTCTGGTAAAAATATCTACTAAAATACGTCAAGATATTTATAATGGAGCAGGTCACTATATTGTAAATTAAAGTCTTGAACGTATGAAATGTACTCATGAAAGTAAAGTATGTAATGAAGACTGTATGTAAAGTGCAAGCATACACCTGTTGCTGGTTAACAGGGAGAGTCAGAAGCTGTTGCCAGGTGTTGCTGACTATAGAGGCTTTTCCTCTGTATAAAGGTAGCTCTGGGAGAGCATTTCTTTGCTGCTCTTGTATAGGAGGACAGTGGTGCCTCGCTAGACAGTTGCCCTGCATGACAGTTTTTTTGCTAGAGATTGACTTTTTGCGATCGCCATAGTAATTCACGAAACAGTGATTCCTATGGGGGAATTTCGCTGGACAATGTTTGGTCCCTGCTTCGCAAACCGATTTTCGCTAGACAACAATTTTGACAGCTTCCTCCGTGCTCGCAAAACAGGTGTTTTTGGGACCTAAGCTTCGCAAGACAGTGATTTAAACAACTGATCGACGGTTCACAAAGCGGCTTTCCTATGGCCGATCTTCGCTAGACAACGATGATTCTTCCCCATTGGAACACATTAAACAGGTTTCAGTGCATTCCAATGGGGAAATGCTTTTCGCTAGACAATGATTTCGTTAAACAGCGATTTCAGTGGAACGGATTATCATCGTCTAGCAAGGCACCACTGTATTCATGTTGTTGTGTAATACTGGGTTGTGAGTAACTGTTTACTGTATATGAATATGCTGTTATGTGATCATGTGATGCTGTTATGTTAAGCCTTTATGCTGAAGCTAAGCTGTCTAAGTTACATATGTAAATACAGAGTATTATTCTAAATTAAGTTTGACCTGTCTTGACTTTTGCATCCAGAGGCAAAGGAAGAGCGCTGACTTCTGTTAAGTTTGCACCAGTTCTCTCCAGGGACCCACATTCTTTCTTGAATCTGCTTAAAACGTTTCTGCTAGTACATGTTTACATGCACATGTTCAAAGTATAGCAGATATTTGTTGTTGTTTAGTCGTTAAGTCATGTCTGACTCTTCATGACCCCATGGACCAGAGCACGCCAGGCCCTTCTGTCTTCCACTGCCTCCCAGAGTTGGGTCAAAGTCATGTGGGTTGCTTTGATGACATAACAGATATAATCGCGACAAAATATTGTGCATTGTAATTTTTTTTCTATTTTTAGGAAATATCTGATTATATATGGTTGATAATGAACTGAGTAAAAATTTGTTGAATGCCTTAGTTTACATTAGGCACATTCCCACCCAGGATAATTATGGTTTATACAAGAAACAATCGAAGAAATCATAACTTCTTTTTTTATTCCGGTTTGTTTTCCTCTTCCCACTTTTGTCACTTTCTCCTTTCAGGTAGGGAGCAGGGGGAATAAGCCAGGAACATACTGTGGCTAAAGATTCAAATGTCATAACAAGCCACAGATGAAATAATTCAGATTTTGTTATTCAATAAGAAAAAATGGATTCAGATTGCAATTTCTGGCTGGCTGATAAACCATGGCTTGTTCACAAAGAGTCACATATCACAATAAGCCAGATTTTAACAATGTACCCATGACTTGCTATGATGTGAGCAGAGGATTGCACCAGCTCTGTTTCATGCGTGGAATGCTGACAGCACTCACAGAAGAGAATGAGACCAGAAAAGCCAACGTTTGTCACTTAGCTCATTCAATTCTCTATAGATGGACATGGAGCTGATCTGTGCAGGGTTTACTCAAATTCCTTCATTCCAAAATTTCTTTATTACATTTTTTTTGGGGAGGGGGAGGGAAGTCAGCAAATGTAACATGTAAGTTTGAATCAAACCAAGAAAAAAAAACAGTGCTAGAAACATGGGAAACTATTTATTGCCTTTCTCTGCAAAGTCGTATTTTGAATAGATCAACGTCATCTGTTAAATTACCCTCTTATACTTGGTGAAAAGATTATCTGTGTCTTGAGGGAAGAAGAAAACAAAACCGAGAAAAAAGCATCCACAATTTGGGAAACAAAACTTTATGCCAACCTTTAAAAGATTTTCCCAGCATGTTTTGCAACAAGTGAAGGCACAGCGCTGGCACTTAAAAGGCACACCCCACTCAGACTGGCATTCAACACACCGGAATCCTCCTGATATGGGAAAGACACAAGGGGGGAGAGAGGGAAAGAACACTCGCCTTCAGAGAAAGATTGACCTTTGGACCTTGAAGAGTCTTTTTATAGTTCCTGTGTTGCTTTCTTCCACAAATAACTTGCGTGAGAACCGAAAAGGCAAGTCCTAATAGGCAGAAATACTACAGCTGCCTTGGGACTGCCTAAGAGAAAGCACACTGTCCTTCACCACTAGTCAAGGTGACCCAAAGCCACTCAGGCACTGTCCTTCTCACTTCCCAGCAAGAACATCCGAGCATCCTCTGGCCTGACCTACTGGGCTCGAGAAGGGGCAGCAGTCCCCCACTTCCTGATCAGAAGGAACGCGTGGTCCCACCAGCCAAATGCCTGGCCAGTGGCAGACGACAAGGGGAAAAGGCACAGTGGTTTCTTCCATCCGCTAAAGTGGTAGTTCCCAATCTTTGGCTCGCCAGATGTTCTTGGACTAAGACTCCCAGAAGCCTTCGCCACCAGCTGTGCTGGTCAGGATTTCTGGGAGTTGCAGTCCAAGAACACCCGGATGACCCAAGGTTGGGAACCGCTGAGCAAAGGTTGACAGCCGCTATTATGGAGGTGGGTCACGATAGCCTTCTAGAGGTTTTCGTGCTTTGATTTAAATGATCCCTCATGTTGGCGAAGCTCAAGAACATTTCAAGGGTCACCAGTTGTCAATACCTGCATTATTCAAAGGAAAATACCAGTAAGGGGACATCAATGCCACTCAAGGTGGCTGTCCATACCCACTTACTGTTCACTGTTTCATTCGCATTCTTCAAAGAATTTATCTCACTCTTTCATCTTCATCTCTTCCTCCCACACCCTTCCCTTTCGGTGTCTGTTTTTTAAACTGAGATGACTCGCACCTTAACCAAGATTTTAAAAAAAAAATACAATATATTTTTGCTCCTGAAGAGCAACCTGACCATCAAGTTGTTTTAAGAAAATTTTTTTGAAGCAAACAAGGAATGGGAAGACACAAAATCAGAGATGGGTGGTTTGTTTCTCTGGATGAAAGGAAAACGTGGGCAGAGAGAAGCTAAAGAAAGGAACCGCAGAAGATCGTAAAGCTGGAGTACAGCTGGCTGGGTAGCTCAGTAGTTTAGGTCTATGGCTGTGGAGCCAGAGGATGGGAGTTTGATTCCCCCAAGGAGGAGGAGAGCTAAGCTGTGTAGTCACAGCAAATGGCACAATTACAGGGTGCGTCAAGAAGGGAATGGTGAAATACTTCTGTGTATCCATTACCTTGGAAACCCCAGAAAGGGTTGGGAGGGAAGAGAGAGAAGGTGGACTTTGAAGTCCAATAGATAGTCCTCGGGTCTAGCATTACAATAGCTAGAACATTTCCTGATCATGTAGACTAAAGAGCAACTGTTTCATTAGTCAGTAAAACTCCCTTTACGCAAATACTGTGTGTGTGTGTTTTAGTGATTCGCTGCTTTTGAAAGCAGTAACATTTATTCTTATAAAACTTTATAAAATGAAGAGTCACTCTATGTCTTGTTTTGTGACACCCCCCCCCCAGTGAGTGAAAACAAAAGCTGGGCTGAAGGGCGATCCCTGAGTCACCCTAAATCGGGATCAACTTGACAGCATGCAATTATTATTAAGTCTGGAATACCTTCTAGCTTGAAGATGCGACATGCTGGTCATTCGCACATCAGTTTTACAACTGTGCTACACTGACTAACAGCCGTATTCTAAAATCTTAGGCAGAAAAATATTTCCTAGTCCTGCTCTTTGAAATCTTTGAGCTAGAGATGCTCAACCATGAATTCACTGAATTAAAACAGGCAGTCGACTATTGAGTTACAGCATCCATAATATATTTTTTGTACAGGTGAAGCTTCCCTTGTTTAGAAAGAAGATTTTCCATTTGATATATACATAATACATACATATCTACATACATACTTACCACCGACTGGTGAGATAGGTACAGTATCAGAACTTGTGAGTGCTCGTAAAGTGCTGGAACTACCTATAGTCTTCTGTAATTTCAAGCTGCTTCCAGGAGAGACTATAGTCTGTAGCGTCCCACTCTCATGGAAGTCTGCAGACAATATACCGAAAACACATCTCAAACAACACACCATTATGAAGATAGGTTATTCTATCTTATTTATTTCATGCTATTTATATATTGAGATAACCCTAGGCGCTACGAACAGCAGACCACAATTCAAAAATCACAGTGTTCTCTAAAATAACATGTTAGTAACTGTTTATAGCAGTGGATTTAGTCCAAGATCATTTGGGGACCCAAGGTTGGGAATGGCTGGTCTATAGGTTTCGTAACTGTTTGGGATGAAATAGGTCTTCACCAGTATCAAATTGTGTAGGGACGTGATGGCGCTGTGGGCTAAACCGCAGAAGCCTGTGCTGTAGGGTCAGAAGACCAGCAGTCGTAAGATCGAATCCACCTGACGGAGTGAGTGCCCGTCGCTTGTCCCAGCTCCCGCCAACCTAGCGGCTCGAAAGCATGCAAATGCAAGTAGATAAATAGGGACCACCCCGGTGGGAAGGTAACAGCATTCCGTGTCTAAGTCGCACTGGCCATGTGACCACGGAAGAGTGTCTTCGGACAAAACGCTGGCTCTATGGCTTGGAAACGGGGATGAGCACCGCCCCCTAGAGTCGGACACGACTGGACAAAAATTGTCAAGGGGAACCTTTACCTTTAGTATCAAATTGCAAGGATGTACACAGACCTATATGAAGGAAGTTCAGATCAGTCACGTCAGTCTTTCTGCCTGGGATAAGTGATTCCTTAAAGGGAGAGGGATTATTAACTTGTATATGAGGGGATGGGGACATGCACCTACACAGGTTTAACTAGATTATATAGTAAATTTTACAGTGACTGAAAAATTTAATGTTATTGTGATTCTTTGGGAATATTAAAGGGAGTTTCCATTTTGGCTATAGTTCTACATACAGCAAGAGTGTTTGATGATTTCATCTGTTTCTCTGTATGTATCCTCTTTAATAGTGTTATCTCTTGTTTATATATTTACAGCTTGTCATGGAGCTTTTCACTCAATGGCTTATAAAAGTAATTATTTGCCTGCGAGCCATTATCAAAACCATTCTGTCCAGCATGAGACTTCTCGTCCTGTTCTTTCAGCTGGCCTGATGCTGTTCTGCCCTTTGCTGGTCTGTTCTAGGATTTGTCATGTAGATGTTCAGAAAGCAGAGGAGGGAATCTATTGGCAGCAATCTGTCTGCAAAGGCTAGGAAGCAGAAGGTGCACTGGATTTCCTGGAAACGTCCTTGGTAAGGGTTTCTGGCTAAGCCAACGCCCATCACGCTTCCTCGCCATCAGGCAAAACTGGTCAGGGAGGATGGGCGTGCATCCCCCCCCCCCGGGAAGTCAAAAGGATACGTAGTTCTCTTTTAGGAGAGAAGAGATCAGAATTCATAGAATCACAGAATCGTGAAGTTGGAAGGGGCCTATAAAACCATGAAGTCCAACCCCCTGCTCAATGCAGGAATACAAATCAAAGGAGATCTGCCAGGCGGCTGTCTAAGTTTCTCTCGAATGCCTCCAGGGTTGGATCACTCGCCACCCCTCAATGCAGTTGGTTCCATTGTCATACCACTCTAACAGTTAGGAAGTTTTTCCTGATATTCAACCGAAATCTGTCTTCCTTTAACTTGAGCCCATTGTTGTGTGTCCTGCACTCTGGGATGATTGAGAACAGATCCTGCCACCCTCCTCTGTAAGGACAGCCTTTCAAATATTAGAAAAGTGCTATCCTATCATCCCTCTGTCTTCTCTTCTCAAGGCTAGACAGGCCCAATTCTTTCAGCCTTTCCTCCTAAGGCTTGGTTTCCAGCCCCCTGATCATCATCCTTCTTGCCCTCCTCTGAACTTGTTCCAGTTTGTTAACATCCTTCTTGAAGTGTGGTGTCCAGATCCGGATGCAAGACTCAAGGTGAGGCTTAACCAGTGCCAATAGAGAGGAACTAGTACCTGACAGGAACTAGTTCCAGAGAAAATATAATAATCAGTAATGGTGATTATCTGCACTGCAAATCCAAACTGTTCATCATAGTGTTGTGGCTCAAAATAAGGTTATATCATTTTAATAACGTTTAATGTGTGAGGGTAGCCGGGTAGGTGGGACTCATTCAGCCCTGGAAGGCAGCCCATCTAAGAGAAGGAAAACTCTGATTCCAAACCTCCACTGTCTTGTGGCTATAACCACTGATGGAAAAGGCTTCAGGAGTTAACCTAGAGGCAAAATCCGGAGCCGGAGTCCCAGAGGCAGTTTGTGTCATTCTGGCAGCTCCTGCGACGTTGCTCTTGCCGTATTGGCTCTTGCCTTTCCACTGGACTATTTCAGTGACGTGGAGAGGGGGGATTTGCTGGTTGGGTAACAGCCTATCCTCCATATTATTTTACCCAGGCTTCATGCTCTGGAGAGGACACTCCAGCTTCGCATACAGCGTCAAAACACTAGACGCTGTTCCAAGTCCTCCATACAGAGCACACTACCATAGTCTCTCCAGACTGAAGGATGCCTATGATGAATGTGTGAGGTGTACGCCAAGAACAGGAAACACACAAGATACATGCGGAAATGCTTCATTTTTACATGTTTTTAACCTTCAGTAACTCCTACTCCCGATTAGCAACATGGTGTGCTATTCACTGAGAAGTCCGTGAAGGACAGAACTGCTGCAGGGAAGCCACAGAAGTCTTTGGAGAAGGACAGGGGGAACAGGACCATTTCCCTACAGTCCTTCCAGGTGAGATTCCCACCGTGTTGTTTCACTGCCTCATTTGCAAAATTTAACCAGAGAAAAGTGGTGGCTGGACAGGTGAGCTAAAAATCACCATCTTTCAAATGCAGCCCTCCTACACACCACTTCCAGAAAAGCATGTTAAGGCAGAAAAGATGGAATATCTAACTCACGCCTTTTAATTATTAAAAGTCAACACCTTATTTCAGGAAGCATCTCTCTTCACGTCTTTGACTGAAAATAAATCCTTGCCAGTCTTCCAACAGAAAGGGAACTTCCTGCCAGTAAAAAAGCCTGCCTGAGGAAAGGAAGCTGGATCTGAGAGCGGAGGAAAAGTAATGATTCGGATTCTGTAGAGCTGCTACGGTAACGGGGACTGGAATTCCCGTCAAGGAGTCAAGAGCGGAGATGGGGGTATTCGTATATGAAGATCCCCGCGCAGCTAGACTCAATGAGGATCCGGCCCCACTCATGTCTCCAGTGGGGAAGCGTCAGCCTTGCTCATCATCCCAATCACTCCGAGAGCACCGCTCTTTTCCTGCTCGGCTGGCCACTCCAGGCATTGGGGTAAGGAGGACGGGTTTCCCTGCACGGCCGCTGAGTGGCCAGCCAAGTGGGAGGAAAGCGGTGGTCCGGGTGCGATGGGAAGGATGATAGAGGCCACCGCCACCAGAGGCGTGAGCGGACGGCCCCAGGGGCTGGACCCTTGTTAAGTCCAGCTGCACGGAGACATTCCTATACGGATACCCCCCAGTCTCTAGTCGGGAGTTCAAAGACTTGTTTGAGGGGGCAAAAGAAAGGCTACTTCATTGTAGGGAGTGAACCCATCTCTCAAAGCCCGTTTCCGGATCTGCAGTGTTTCTAGGGCTCCATCATTCAGAAAGCGAGAGGGTCAGTGATCTATCGGGGCAAGCACAGAACATGCTTGGAGGTTGGTTCGTCCATGCCGCTGGCTCACTGCATCACACTCACACCCTCAAATTGAGAGAGACTGACACAGTCAGGTCAGCGTGAACATTCTAAGGAAGAAAGGGTCACAAACCTGGGGTTTCTGCAGTCACTTCGTCCCGAGTTTGGCTTCCTTTCTCAGGGTGGTGTGAACCCCCCGCGGCCACAGAGCCTCCCTCCTGGGCGGGCAACAGAACCTCCTCGCTTTCCCTGGGGCAACCCGTTCCAGTCAGCTGTTTGCACATCTGTCTGAATCGCTCCTTGTGGTGGGGACGCACAAACAGAGAGAACCCTGAAAGCGGAAACAACCATCACAACATGTACAGAGTTAAAAGCTGGCTTGTTATGTTGCGGTTATGCGCTGTTAAGCCCCCCCCCGACTTAGGGTGGCCCCATGAAGAAGTAACCTCCAAAAGGTCCTATCGTTAATAGATCTGCCCAGTTCCTGCAAACTCAAGACCATGGTTTCCTTTACTGAGTCAATCAATCTCATATGTGGTTTTCCTCCTTTCCTGCCGCCTTCCAGCTAGATGGACACAAAGTCCAGCTCAGTACAAGGTGGCCTGCTATGTTCTTCAGTAGCCACTTGGTGTAGGGAAAGGAACCATGGAGAAGGCACAAGGAAAACACTGTGTGTGCTGCCCTCCTCTGCTATAAAGAATGCCACAAGAGAGATAGTGGATGCTCCCAGAAAAGTGCCACGGTATGGTGGAGCCAGAGATAACCCCCTTTCAGAAAAGAGTCAGAGCTGTGGATTTTCCAGCTGTTCAAGTTGTGGGAGAGAAGTAAGGAGTGGACTAACCCATGGATTCCTATCTCCAGAGAGCAGGGCTCACGATCTTTCGGCATGAGTAGGCAAGGCGTAACCCCGGACTCCAGGCCAGATTCCTAGAAATTGCAGAATGCTTAAGAACTGCTAAATTGGCTTTATAGGCAACCTTGTGACTAGAGAGCATGTCCAGAAGAAAAGGAACCAGCAGTGAGGAAATGGAAGAAATATCCCCAGGAGGGCCCTGCAGAAATAAAAGCTCAAATTCCTCAGGAACCCCTGAGCAAAACAAAACTATTCCTCAAAAACACACTATTTGTGGGGTTTGGCTGCTCTTCCGTATCTATGAGTTGGAATTCTTGAAAAACCCTCCCCTGTCAGGAGCAGAATATCTGACTGCATCATCTTTGCTGAAGACCAGTTTGGAGGCAGCACAGGACTCTTGCTTGGGGCTGGCGCCACCAAGGGCGGCCGAGGCATGATGATGCCCGTCCAACCTTTGATAGAAGGAACAAGAGCAAGAGAAATGTGGCTTAGAACGCCACTCAAATTGCTGGCCACTTGTAGACCACAAAGGAAAGCATAACCTCTTAAAAATATGTTCTGGGAGGGTTCTAGTCAAGTTTGTAGTGTTTTGTTCCATTCATGGTTTTGAGCAGAATATTCATATAGAAAACTGCAGAATCAGTTTTCTGTGCATGGAAAGATTCCCCCCCACACACACACACACACGTAAACCCCCAAGAGAAGAGAAATCCCCTTGGTCCTGCGGGCAACCTCAGCTAAATTGGGACTCCAACGGCTTTTCATTAAGCACAAAAGGAAGTCATCTTCAAAGGGAAGCCAACGTCTGAAGGAACCTTTCTTTCTAGACTAGCCTACACAGGTTTTAAGGTCGTTGGGAGGAGGTCCTTCTTTGTTCCTGTTGCCTTCACAGACACATTTTTGGGTGAGGATGCGAGAGAGAACCTTAGGACTTGCTGCCCCCCCACCCCCAAAACACACAAAGCTCTGAATCAAGTATGGGTTGAATACCTTCTGATATCCTTTTATCACCACAAAGTTCAGCCGTGGCTGCTGTTCAGGTTCTCACAGAGGGCAACTACGGTAAAACTGTTAAGCAACTGTGAACCCTGCCTCGGACAGAAGCACATGAATAAGGAGAGCACAATGGCACAAGCCAGCGAAGCCCCATGAAAAAGAACAAGCAGGTACTTGCTTTGCAGGAGATGGAAGTGTTCTGGCTTCTCTGTGGTGAGGGCTGCCACGACGGAAACCATGGCATCGTAGTCGTCCGTCTTCTTGTACGTGGAGAGGGCCGAAAGGAAGCTGCTGTAGCTGTTTTTATCCAGACACTTCCTGAGGTCATTCAAGTAGGCTGACATGATTATCTGGTTGTGTTTCTCCTTTAGAGAGCTGGATGGCTTTTCAAAAGGTTCACTGGTTATGCATGCCTGGCTTCCTTCTAAGAAAAACCCAGAAATTAGGGCACGCAAGGACACAACGAAGAGGCAAGCTCCCCCCCCCCCTTTAAGCCATTGTGTTCTGTTGCAACTTCTTTGGAACACTTAAATGGAGAGCAAAGACTGATTACGTTTCACAACCGCTGTCTCTCTTTCAGAAGGAGGAGTATGATGTCAGAAAACCCGGTGCCGATGGTGACAGCGTATCGTCCATTGTCACTGGGAGCAGCACAGGACATCAAAAAATGGACCAGTGTTGAACTGTGTCTGTGCTGAACATGAGAATTGACGCATAAAGCATTTTTTTAAAAAGAGAGACTACACGGAAGGCCAACATGGTAAGAATAACCTGTTGCTGAATGCTTACAAGTGCTCTCTTTTGTAGGTGCCAATGTTTGGACTACATGAGGATGACGGTATGGATAGTCATGTGAAAAAGAAAGTACACCCTCTTTGAATTCTACAGTTTTCCGTATCAAGACATAATAAAAATCATCTGGTCCTCAGCGGGTCTGAAAATTAGGTAAATACAACCTCAGATGAACAACAACACGTGACATATTACAACGTGTCATGATTTATTTAAAAAAATATTTTACATAATTTTTATTGTGTCCTGATGTGCAAAACCATAGAATACAAAGAGGGTGTACTTTTTTTTCTACAGGGACTATACAACATGTCTTTCATAACGCATCTTGTTCTGTGATGTTCAGAAACAGAAAGCTTCTATACACTGATCTCCGTTATTAGTGTTGGTACGTCACTTGTTGGATGACGCAAACGTACCTCTGGCATCTGACACAGAAGTTAGGTGGGACCCTCCTTTGTTCAAGTGCTGCTGAGAGTCAAGCTGCTTAGAGGAACTCTCTGAAAAGGTGGTTTGCCTCTCAGATTCCTTCTCTGTGATAAAAGGGAACAGAACCAGATACTGATTAAGTGGAAGCGAGAGAGCTTGGCCCAGAATCCCCATAGAGATGGGGACAACTCAACATTTTGGCATGTCGTCCCGAAGTATGAAATTGCCCCCACGAAGTGACAAATAACGAATATATTTGTTGATTCATGGAGAGCTTATTTAAAACACACACACACACACATCTGCCTCTGCCACTTCCACTACTGCCTTCAACTTCCCCCAGCATTATTGTTTCTTCCAGTCAGTCTTCTTTTCTCACAATGTACCCAAGGTATGATGGCATCTCAGCCTTAACTAATTATGCTGGTGTAACTCCAAGAGGGACGTGGTGGCGCTGCGGGTTAAACCGCCGGAGCCTCTGAGTTGCAAGGTCAAAGACCAGCTGTTGTAAGATCGAAATCCACGTGACAGAGGGAGCTCCCGTTGATAGTCCCAGCTTCTGCCAACCTAGCCGTTTGAAAGCATATAAAAATGCAAGTCGATAAATAGGTACCACCACGGTGGGAAGGTCACGCCATTCAGTGTCTAGTCATGCTGGCCACGTGACCACGGAAATGGTCTACGGACAAAATCCTGGCTCTACGGCTTGGAGACGGGGATGAACACCGCCCCCTAGAGTCAGACACAACCGGATTAAATGTCAAGGGGAACCTTTACCTTTAAGAATAGAAAGCCCATATTGCTAATGAAGGAAAATGCACTCATGTCATGGGAAATTGCACTTTATTAGAGTTTTATTTACAATGTCACAGAACACCTGAATTATTTGCTATACCAGTCTTGGGGCAAAGGAGGCTCTAGCTAGGACAGAATAAAAGGAACAGCCCCAAAATATTTGAAGGTTGGTTTTGGGAAGGGGGTGGTTCTTGCAGTTTAATACCTTCCCGAGTGGCACCAAAGTATAGTGGCAAGGATTTTAGATGTAAAAAAACGTCCTTCAAGTGGCGCCTGTGACATAAAAATTGGTGGAAAGACCAATGGCTACTCGGCCCAAAATGTTACTTGTGCCGCCTGTCGGATGGCCCTGTCACAGAAGGCGCTTCCAGGTATTTGCAAATAATGAAGAATGAAGTATCCGTCTTGCTCCACTGCCTCTCTTTCTTTCTCTCTCAACAGAGTCGAAGAGCTCACAACATAGATTTAAAGGGAGCTGTAGTCATACTTGACGAAGCTCACAATGTGGTAAGTAAAACCACAGCCGATGATTCTCCTTCTTTTTTTTTTTTTTTTAGCCCCACATCCATGTTAACATTCTAATAATTCTGTTGCTTCAAAAAAAGAATCACTGGTGTCAAAAAGTTGGAGACTCAACTTTGAGTCAAACAGAATGTAAATATTCAGAACAAGTCGTGCTGGCCACGTGACCACGGAAGATTGTCTTCGGACAAAACACTGGCTCTATGGCTTGGAAACGGGGATGAGCCCCGCGCCCTAGAGTCAGACACGACTGGACTAAATGTCAAGAGAAACTTTTACCTTTACCTAACTCCACCGAGTCATACAACTGGTGTGCTACAGCAAATGCTTACACCAGCTTCTTAACTCACAACAGTTCACTGCTAAAATGTATGCCAACGAAGCAGTGTTAACTAACAGGATTCTTGCCATCCAAAGAGAAAATTTCACAGTAGGTTGTCGAAACACTGACCTGGAGATTAGATACATTATACAGGCCTTTTCTATCAGAAGCAGTATCCACTTATAGTGCTAAGTGAAAGAGGATTCGCCTATGGGGTACTGCCCAAAAAGGTTGCAGAGAGAACAGTTGAACAATCACAGTAGGAAATACCCTTGCGCATGGAAACTTTTCTTTTTTGAAAAACCATTTTGATAAAACTACTGTACTGTATTGTGTATAACTTTAAGCCTTCCGGAGAGAAAATAAGAAACAGCATAACCACCACCACTACCCGACCAAAACAACAACAACACAAAGAGTATCAGCATAGCAAGGAGTCAGTTCATTGGCCTGTCTGGTTATCTATCTAAAAACAAATCAAGGTCCTTCCATGGAATGCTACCCTTCAGAAAGTAAAGATGCTTACCTTAAATTCTTTCCCTTAATGACTGGTGGTCTAAGAGGGTGTTTGTAAATGGATTGTGTAATCTGTTGCTTTTAAATATGTTTTTAGTACTGATTTTATTTAATCAGCACGCTTAGCTAAGGACTCAAAAGACCACCTCATTTCCTGTTAAACCAGCTACAAGAACTCACAACTTCCTCTCCTCTGGGTTTGTTCAACAAGTACGTTACCCCAATCACTACCGGCTTTGCCCAAAACCCTAATGTAAATTCATGGGAGCTAAACACCAGTGAAAAGTAACCTGGAAGGGATTTTCTCTAAGAATAGCAGAAAACGGGCAAGATCCTATTGGTGTAAATTTATATGGCGGAAGCTGATAATGTCATTAGTTTCCACCAATAACATTTAATTTAAATTAATCAAACACCTCCCATCCCTGTTCTTTATTCTGAGGCTTCCCTAGGGCTTGCTTTTGTTGCTACATGTGTTTTTGCAACACAGATTGTATATATGTGTGCATGTGAATGTTTATAGTGTTTGCTAAGAGTATAATGTGTTATTAGCATGGAATGTGACTTTAACCCATCAGATTGTATCTGTCATTAGCCAAGCTGCTATAAAAGCCAGTGTTAGCCAGGAGACTGTCAGACAGGGTCCAATGTCAGCTACTGTGAGAGGGACCCACATAGGTAAAGGTAAAGGTTCCCCTTGACATTTAGTCCAGTCGTGTCTGACTCTAGGGCACGGTGCTCATCCCTGTTTCCAAGCCGTAGAGCCAGCGTTTGTCTGTAGACAGTTTCCGTGGTCATGTGGCCAGCATGACTAGACACGGAATGCCGTGACCTTCCCACTCACATTTACATGCTTTTGAACTGCTAGGCTGGCAGGAGCTGAGATCCACATAAAATATAAAAATTAATAAAAGTTATTTATTACTTTACAAAAGTGATTTTTAAAAAACATTTCCAGTGGCTGCACATAAATTCTACTAAGTCATAGGTTATAGCTTACAGTGGTGCCCCGCATAGCGACGATAATCCGTTCCAAAAAAATCGTCGCTATATGGATTCGTCGCTATGCGGGGCAAAGAAGCCCATAGGAATGCATTAAAACACGTTTAATGCGTTCCTATGGGCAAAAACCTCACCGTTATGCGAAGATCCTCCATGCGGCTGCCATTTTCGCTGCCCGGTAAGCGAGGAAAGGGTGCGAAAACACAGCAGGCGGCCATTTATTTAACCCGGTAGCCATTTTGGAACCGGCGATCAGCTGTTAGAAAAAACATCGCAATGCGAAAATCGGTAAGCGAAATGCTTACCGATCACCGCAATGCTGTGTTTTGCCATTAAAAACATCGTTATGCGAACGCTTTGGCGATCGCAAGAAACACATCGCTATGCAGATTCATCATTAAACGAATTGCTCGTTATGCGGGGCACCACTGTATTTATTATATCTAAAAGCCAACAGCTTTTGCCCCAGATAAATAAATGTTCTCCGATTTAACGGGTCATGTTGTACTTAGGGAGATTTTTTTTAAAAAGTAGTTGGATGCACAGCCAGACACTTAACGGATCCGTTTGAAAGCAGCAACGTCTGAAAGGTTCCCTCTGGAATCTCCAGGAAGGCCCCATACATCATGCTTCCGATGTTACGAAGTTCACTTTCAATCCGGCCCCTCTACGCAGTGCACTTAGTTTGTTAAAAAGCCCTGCAAGCTTGAGTGACAGCTGCAATCACCCACTTCCACTAAGGTCTTAACAAAGCATCTTCGGGATCTGCCCTTTTCTGAGACGACAGCTGCCAGAATTTCCCAGCCAACACAGGTCTTATTTATCATGACCAGGAAATATATTTAGAAAGATGTCTGCGCGCTCCTTGAAGTACAGCTGTTTCTCACCAGCATTCTTGGCCAGCAACAATCTCTCCTCTCGCAGAAGGCTGTGCTCTGGTTTATACCCGCAGCCCACTCCAGTCAGAGAACAGCAGGCTTCATCAAATTGTTTTTTATGCTGTGGCCGCACAAACTGGTAAAACTCTGGCAAAGTGAAAGAAAAAGAAGGGTGAACTCCAGAGTGGCAATTTATACTATCAAATATACTTCACAGGGGGCATTATTTCAGTTACCACTTTCCCCCAAGCATACATGGATCACCACTCCTGCCTGTCCGATGGTGGGATCTTCTTGCCACAAGTAGCACACTCCTTCATCAAAGCAGCAGCCATAAATCATTGGGGAAAAGGGAGCGGCAAAGCCACGTTTGGGGGGAGGGTCCCCTCTAACGTTACTTAAATAACTCTCTCTCCCCCATTCCCCTCTTTTTTACAAAAATAGGTAAAAGAAGAAAAGGAGGAAGAAAAAAAAGGAAAGGCAGAAAACCTATTGAGATAATGACAAATATGAGGCTGAGGCTCCAGAGCAGTCCTCTGTGTACTGTTGCAGCATCAGAAAAAAAGGAGGAAAGCAGGGCTGTGAACATGCAGTATAGATAAGAGAGCCACTTTTATTTCTGAGGCTCTGGAACTTTCCAAAGCGAGGTCTGTGCAGGTGCTGAACTACATATATGGACACCATGACCAAGAACTAATAATTCACCTCAAATTAAGCCCAACTTTCATTTTCCCTGTAACAAGATGACAATCCTGGTCACCAACTTTCAAAGTTGTACAGTTCAAGAAATACATTTTAACAGATGTCAAAGCAGCTAAACCAAGAGTTCTGCTTCTGTATGTTGTTGTTGTTTAGTCGTTTAGTCGTGTCCAACTCTTTGTGACCCCATGGACCAGAGCACAGCAGGCCCTCCTGTCTTCAATTGCCTCCTGGAGTCCTTCCACTGCCTCCTGGAATCAGGTCAAATCTATGTTGGCCGCTTCGGTGATACTGTCCAACCATCTCGTCCTCTGTCATCCCCTTCTCCTCTTGCCTTCACACTTTCCTAATATCATCTGCTTCTTTATAACCCTTCACAAATAAAATAAAATGCTGCTCCTCTTGCCTTCACAGTTTCCTAACATCACCTGCTTCTTTACAGCCCTTCACAAATAAAATAAAATAAAATGCTGTTAAGAAGCAACCATCGAAGCAACAGTGTCATCGAAGCGACCAGCAAGAATGTGACCCAACTCCGGGAGGCAGTGGAAGACCGGAGGGCCTGGCGTGCTCTGATCCATGGGGTCACGAAGAGTCAAACACGACTAAACGACTAAACAACAACAGAAGAGGAAAACAGTACCCTTTTATGAACAGTAGCAATTTTTGCAAGAAGTGCAACAAACTCTTAGACGAGATGTTCAGATGGCTACCATACCTCGCAACAAGACGTGCTTTTCCTGGTCTTCTGCAAAAAGAGTGCTCATTTGAGAGAACATTGCATTGAAGTCATTTGTGTTCTTGTATTGCTGCAGGGCTCGTGAGAATGTGTCGAAATTAAGCTGACTTAGGGACTGTTTCACCGTTGCAATAAAAGATGCAGCCCTTGCTTTTTTGGGTTCAGAGGGATCTGGCGCCTTGCCAGTCTGCTGTAATTCAAAAGAGAGGGGGGGAGGGAGGGAGGGAGAGTGTACAGCACAAGATCTGTGAGAAAATTCTTTTACAGAGACCTCTTGTAGTGCATTGTGCTAAACTAAAACCCTTTTCCACAACAGTTGATATGGGGACAAAGACCGGCTGATGATTCCCTTTTCTGAAGCTACCCAGAGAAAGGAGAACAGATCATGTGTGTCTTCTAGAATCTAGGTGCTGCTCATGGGCCAGTGATATCACTCTATCACTGGCCCATGAGCAGCATCTAGATCACTGAGCACCACCTATCGACTACACTTCTCCCCACTGCAATAACGCCAGCCATAATGATTCATGTAGGGGATCTGGTCAATGCTATTTTCCCCCCAACAATATAGTCATTGGTAGAGTGATGGTGGGGAAGTAATGTGGGGAGTGGGAGCCCCTCATTTCCACCACCTGCTGCAATTTCTTCCAGATCCTCACTTTTTTAAAATGCCTTTAGAAATACTTTCACCTCTGGAAGATGTAGGACTACTAGCACTCATTAAGCTACAACAGCTTCAATCATCTTACAGGGAAATTAACGAACTGACCGCTTCTCCCATCTCCATTTTTTACAGTAGAAAAGTTATTTCTAAGCCATATATTTTTTTGCAAATTTTGTGGTACGTAGTATGGAACTAAAATTAACACAGGCTGTGCTAACAGTTCCCTGTTATATTCCCAAATAAAATGACATGGGAATAATTTCTGTCCTTTTTTTATATGTCTCTCCTTGGAGGGATTATGCCTTCTCTGAATGGTACCTTCAAGGACTGGACAAAAACTCCAGAATTTTGCTTCTAATGCTCTCTCATATGCCTACTAAATAACATGTCTAAGCACAATCCATTGTATGCTCCACAGTTCCTTAATGATCTCCAGAAGTAACATTTATGCCATTGCTCTGTGCCATCAAATGTCTTCTGATACAGTTTGTGGTGATCTCATGAATTAGTGACTTCTGAAAGGTCCCGTCATTAGCATCTCTCATTCAGGTCTTGCAAACTTAAGACTGGAGCCTCTTTTAGTGAATAAAGAAAAAGAAAACAGTATATGCTGATGAGCTGTTTTTTTTATTTTTTATTCAGGGCATGTACATCTACATGCCCAGGAAAAAAAAATACTGTACTGTATATGCATTTATGTATATGTGTGTTTGGGGGTGGGGTGGGGTGAGCAAGCAAGCGAGAAGGAGCTCCACCATCATATGCATTTTACTTCTAAGGGCAAAGAGAGAGAACTGTTTTTTAACCTAGTATTAAGGAATGAGTCCCTTTTACCTCTTTCTGGAAAAAATATACAAATCTGCTCTTTATCAGGTTAATCTACTTATTCAGCAAGGCAGGTGCTGACTACTGTGCTGGCAGTCTTGTCAAGAGTTTTCTCCACATCAGAGGTGATTTTATAATTATTTTTTAAACTAGGTATGTTAGTGCTTAAATGTGGCCATCTCAGTACATGGAACATGGGGTTCTGCCATGACCTTTGGGTTGTAAAGACCATTCCCTAGTGCACCCCGGAACCTGATTCACTCTACATTTCCCAGACACTGAGAAAGAGAAGTCTATATTAGAGAAGACTTGGCTTGTGTGATACCTAAAAATATTGCTAGGATGCACAGTACCCAAGACTTTTAAACAGCAGCACACAAGATGCATGTATCCCAAATATAACCTTTCTTTCTATGCTCCAGCACAACGTACCAGAGTGCTCAATATCTTGATTTTCTTCCTGCCTCCTTTCTGCCCATCCATCAGTTTTTTCTCATATTGAAGAGACAGAGTTGACAAACGTTTTGCCTGTAAAGATAACAGAGTTGACACAGTATCCTTGCTTCCTTCTGGATAATTTGCTGTAACAAAGGCAAGTATTCTGTCGTTAGCTGGTCTTTTTTGTGCAATGATCGACACCCATCAACCGCTCCCATCAACCACAGTGACAGATAATCTCTCCCCCCCCCAATCACAACAAAAACATACTGATCAACCTATCTCCTGAAAAAAAACATAAAGGCTGTTCCCACAGCTATAAATACTCAACTATCCAACAAACAGCAACAGAGCAAGGACAGTGTTCCTACTCCAGTTGTCTGAAGATGCCGGCCACAGAGACTGGCGAAACGTCAGGAAGAACAACCTTCAGAACGTGGCCAAAGAGCCCGAAAAACCCAGAACCACCATTAGATCCCGGCCGTGAAAGCCTTCGCAAATACATTGAAATATGGCAGATCAATGAAAATGGAGGTAGTAATAGAAATATAGTTTGGAATACTATGAAATGTGTATCTGGAAGTTGAGTCATGGTAACTAGACTTCTTCCTTGTTAATTTGAACCATTTCGCTACTCATGCAAGTCACTTCTTCAAACTGACTTTATAAATGCCGTATTGAATAAAGGTAAAGAGCAAAAGCCAGGTCAAGAATATATGTATTTTTGGAAGGGATAAGTTTTTTTAAAAAAAAAAAAGATGAAGGAAATGTTATTGTAAAATATAGCTATGTATTGTCTTAACGAATGGTCCCTGGGGTGAGGGATGTACTACTGTTTTGTTTTGGGGGATCTTTTGTATGTAAACAAATCAAATTTAATTTAAAAATCATTAAAAAACAAAAGACAGAAACATTTTGGCACCTTAAAGATTAACTGCTATGTTTTAATATGAGCTTTTGTGGATTATGTCCACTTCCTCAAACGTAAGCTCACATTATAATATAGCAATTAGTCTTTAAGGCGCCACATTTTTGCCCTCTTTAATTTTCCGTTTTGTTTTTGGCCTGATATGCTAACAGAGATCAACACAGCGACCCCCTCTAGCACTTTCTTGTTATTTGAATCCATAGATTCAAGTTCTACCCTTTGGAGCAGCAGAAAACCGTTTCCTCCATATTCCACAGAGCAGCTTTTCAGATATCTGAGGTATCAAAAACGCCTGTTAAATAGTGTGTCCATACCTTTTCTTCTCCTGGCAAGCTGTCTTCCTCACCTGCCTCTCCTACATTCTTCTCGTTGTTTTCTAGCGCATCCAAGAGACTAGCAGGCTGCCTTCTGGAGGTGGTCGGAACCTGACCATAATCTGTACACAGGTTGGTCACTCCGTTGTCTGACAAAAGACGGATTAAAAACATTTAAAACATACATGTGGGATGTTCTAACTCATTTCTTTCTGGTGGTTGTTGTGTTTTTTTCGGGGCTCTTTGGCCGTGTTCTGAAAATTGTTCTTCCACGGCCAAAGAGCCCGAAAAACCCACAACAACCATCAAATCTCGGCCATGAAAGCGTTCGAGAATTTATTTCTGCTTAGGACTTCTTAGGATGACAGCAGGGACATACCTAAATTAGGTGGTTGTTGCTGAAAATGACCGTGTTCAGATGTTAGCCCAGCAGGCTTAATAAAACCGCAAGGAGACAGCACAAGCCTGTCACCATTTTTGCTCGTCTCCTCACATGGAGAGCAATCTCCTATGCTTGGGAACATAAATAACATGCCTCCATGCAGTAGACAGTGCTAGAAAATCAAAAGCAGGACTAAGTTGTGCAATATAGCTAGTATCACAGGCTCAAATCCTGTTGTCCCACTGGCTCCGGATCCTTTGGTACCGCTCAATTTCTCTTGATCCTTTTGCCCTGTCTTTTTAACATCTTAAGGATTCCACTCCTGTGTTAATAACACATTGTTAGTTTTGTCTGTTGTTTGTATCCTCATCAAGTCATGGCCCCACCCCCATGTGTAAATATAGATGAAATGGTATAATCATTCCATGTGTCTGAAAAAGGGGGGTTTGATCCGTGAAACCTCAACAAAATAACGCAGGCGCAGAACTAACCCATTCATCTGTATTCACAGAGACCATGAAGAAGAGCAACTGTTACTCAAACATCACATTTCCTTCTCTCTCACTGTCTTTCCATTTCTCTCTCTGTCGTTGTGTCAACATGATAAGACTAACACAGCTACTCTTTAGTAACTTACTACAGCAGACGCGGAGCTTGAGATGTTACTTTTAAAGCAGATGGTCATAATGGTATGTGGAAGCCACCCATAATTTATTACACATTTATTTATTATATTATAATACTACACCATCTAGTGGCCTTGCCACTAGATGGGTAGCGAGGTTAGGTAGCGAGGTTCCAAACCGTTTGATCTGTGGGAGGTGGAGGATTTGGTCAGAAGCCTGCTCAGTTATGGATGAATTTAGTGTATTGTTATGCTCACTCTAGAGGTGTACAAAGTTGTTTTCAGTCTACAACCCTCCAGGATTCTGAGATTTCTTGTTCAGAATACACAGATCTGCATACCTCTAGCTCAGGGGTCTCCAAACTATGGCCACGGGTCACATCCAGTGTTTACTCTTCATTTGAAATGAAAAAAATCAAGAAGGGGGCGTGATGGGAAAAAAGTTAGCAGTTCTGTGTTCTAATTTACGGATCACGCTCTTTATTGGCAGCTACTTTGCCTCTCATTGAGGTTTATCAATTACTAAATTATAAATCAACAACTGAAACAGCAGAAATAAAACATGGAACCAAATAAAGCAGTCAATACAAAGTTGCATGAAACAAGAACAGTTTCAAAAATCTGCTTAAATTTCTTGGGACCACATGCCACTCTCAAGGGAAAACAATACCAAAAACTGTCAGAAGCTCTGTATTTACAGCCTGACAATTTGACGGTTCACAGGAGGGGGGCCAGCAAGGTCTCTGAGGACAAGCACAGGGACCTGGTGGCTTCATAGGGGCAGAGACAGTCTTTCAAAAACACGTGCTCTGAACTCATTCAGCAGTTTAAAGGTCAGAGAAAAACTTCGAACTGAGCCTAGGAACCGAAAGCCAACCTACACAACTGGTACTGAGATGATATAATATGATATCCATGTCAAGCCCCTAGAATATCCTGACAGTTGACTTCTGTATATAAAAAAAAGTTTCCCTGCTGTCTTTCATGACCATAACCTAATCTGGAAGTGAGAAGGACGTGTGTAACTGAAGGTACATCCGTTTTCTTCCAATACGGACACAACCAATGAAGAACCAGCCAACCCTGACCAAAGGGGGGAGAAAAACCTCTCCTAGCCATTGAGACCACTAAATACTGCCAAGGTGAGGGAAATCTCCAAGAATGGATCCCCATCATCGTCCAGCGACTGGCGCCCACTTCTTTAGATGCATTTGGACGTTGTAGATCAGTAAGTAGGCTACAAAACATGTAGAAATACATAAAAAATAGAACTTAAGTCTCTAAGGTGCCATAAGACTCCTTGTTTTTTTCTGGAAAAAAACCCAGTTGATGTAGGACTTGATGGATCAAGTCCAAGTTCTCAGTTTTTGGGGAATACACCTAGACCGAGCACTCTCTATAGAGGCTCAGATATTGGCTGTGGCCAAAAGTGCCTTTTATCAACTTCAGTTGATTGCCCAGTTGCACCCCTACCTGAATACAAAATGCTTAGTAACAGTGATTCATGCATTGGTAATCTCAAAAACAGACTACTGTAATGCTCTCTACATAGGGCTGCCCTTGAAAACAGTGCGGAAACTTCAGCAGGTCGAAAATGCGGCAGCCAGACTGATTTCTGGGATGAGTAAATTTGACCTTAGATCCCCAGTCTTGGCTCACCTGCACTAACTCCATGTCAGTTTCCATGCTCAATTCAAGGTGCTGATTACGACTCACAAAGCCCTTCACGGTTTAGGACTTCAAGATTTCTTGGAATGTCTCTCTCGGAAAAATGCTTCCTGTTTCACCTGCTCCTCGCAATCCAAGTTGCTAAAAATGGCCACATCAAGGGAGGTCAAAAAGGCAACACGGAATCAGGCCTTCTTGGTGTTGGCTCCCGACTGAGGTATGCCAGGCTCCTTCCCTCCTAGTCTTCAGGAAATTAGTAGAGAAAGAAACATGCAAAGCTGCCTTCAGGAACTTGTTCCCCTGATGCCCGTAATAAGAATTTTTAATTTTCCCCCCTCTTCTTGTGCTTTTCTTTTAATTTTACATCTATACTGTTGAACCACAAGATCACTCTTGGGGTTGTGTGAGGTTCTAAGTTTTTAATTTGTAGTGCATCCACTGGAGCAGCAGTCCCCAACCTTTTTGGAACTGCAGACCAGTTGGGGGTGGGTGGGCTCTGTGTACGGGGAGGCGGAACATCTCCCCACGAGTGTGACACCTCACAAGCACGACACGCCCACCGTTCATGCGTGCGGGGGGAGGTGGCAATCCGTCTCCACGGCCCAGTCCTGGGAAGCCCACGGATTGGCACCGGGCCACGGACCAGGGGTTGGGGACCCCTGCACTAGAGGGATGGCATGTAAATCGAATACATGAATTTTTAGGGTTTTTTGAACCAAGATTCAATGGAGGAAATTTCCTGGTAGTTGCATTTGAAAGCAAGACAGCAACCCCTAGAAAAACTAATTCATTTGGCTGAAATTTTGGGACATCAAGGCAGGCAGAGCCTTTCAGGTTCTTCAAGAGAGGAGAGGATACCGAGGTTTATTTTTGCCTTGTAGGAAAAGAGGCCTACATACCAATTCTCTTCCTTTTCAAACTAGGAACATGGTCATCTAAATTGCTGGCTTTTGATACAGGAAGGAAATGCTCATGTGAAGCAGAAGGTGTAACGTTGTCTTCTTCTCTATTAGCAGTGCATGAGGGATCCCGAATTGGTGGAGCAGGCATCTGTAGACAGAACGGGAGTATTAAAAACCTCTTAAAGGGCTACACCAAATGATTAATTTCAGGAACGATCTCTTCTGGGTGGAAAACCGTTCCCACCCAAATGTAGTAACGATGCCAAATAAAGTTTATAGCAGTTAACACATTACTAGCAACAGCAGCAGAGCCCAGATATCTCTCTTCCACGCTATTATGTCCAAAAAGTTCCTAAATAAGGAAACAAATCCTGTGACTACTTTGTTAACATTTAAGAAATACAAATGTTTCTGCGGAATCAAATTTAAAAAATCCACCCACTGGAACATCCTGTGCCCAACAAATGTTTCTAGAAAGCTACAGGCTTGGATAGTAACCATCAATGTGAATGTTTTACTAAGCCACCACATCCAGTAGCTATTAAACTAACCTATCCTCTGTATATTTGTCTAACCATTCTAAGCTAGAAAGTCATCACCACAATCAGCAGATACGAATGTCGTAAATTACTAATGCATAATGCCTGTTGTTCATCTTTCACCTTGTTTTTATGTGTTGTCAAGTCACTTCTGAAGCATGGTAAGGCTATGATTTAGCAACCTTCAAAACGTCCTCACATTACAAGCACTCCGCAGGTTTTGCACATGTAAAGCCATGGCTTTGTTTACTGAGCCAACCCATCTTATATTTGGCACCCTTCCGACTCCCTCCAACTTTTCTCAGCATTACTGTTTTTTTTTCCTAGTGAATCTTGTGTTCTCATAATGTGTCGAAATAGTCACTGTCAATGGTTGTTGTGGGTTTTTCGGTTAGCTTGAGTTTCTCTGCCACTGTTTGTGAAAGATCATCCACTACTTTCATCTTCCACTCCTCATGCCACCGCCCAGTAGCTGCCCTTCAGGAGTTTCTCTGCCACTGTTTGTGAAAGATCATCCACTACTTTCATCTTCCACTCCTCATGCCACCGCCCAGTAGCTGCCCTTCAGGAGTTTCTCTGCCACCAATATCACTGGAACTATTATCTTCTACTGAAGTGACCACTAGTCTTAGAGAAAGGTGGATGCATTTTAGTTTGGTTTCACTCTTGGTTGACCCTCTTACAAGTCCAGACTAGCCTCCTGACAGTGTTGCTTTCAGCTTCCCCAACACTCAAAGCCACCCACCATGTTAAGAGGAAGATCCTTCACCTACCATCAGTAATTTCCTTTGAAGTTCAAGTCCTAATACTGTCAGACTTCAGAGAAAAAAACATAATAATTCACTCATTCCATACTCTATAATTTTATTTATACTTTCTAATCTCACCCATACTTTGTTGTTATGTGCTAGCAAGTCAGAACTGACTTACAGTGGACCTAATAGGGTTTTCAAAGTAAGTGAGGTAGTTAAGGAATGTTCCACACCGCCAGTGAGCTCCATGGCTAAGCGGAGGTTCGAAACCAGGCCTCTTGAATTCTAATCCCTAAATTGTGTACCCATCCCCTATACTTTAGCCTCTCTTTTTTGGGGAGAGGCCAAGAAGTCTCACCAACTTTTGTCTTCCAATTTTTCCTGTTTTCTTTGAGTTCCAGGATATACCCACAGGCAAGAAAATGAGACAATAAACATTAACGTGATGACAAGGAACTAATAAAGAAACACACAGAGATATAATTTTTTAAAAGCAGTTCTCATGTGCCATTAGTAGTGGCTGGTACTCTGATACTTGTCCAATTCTTTGGAAATCAGTAGAGTCAAAACTGGAGGGGTCTTATTTATTTATTTACTGCAAAAAAAAGTTTAATGACTTTACAAGTTAAATCCAATGGATGGGGGTTTACTTTGTTATTTTCCACAAGGGAGCAATTGATTTAACGTCTTTGCACCAAAACAGCAAAGCATTATACAGCACCTTTAACAGAAACATTATGGCATGCACACTACCTGGATTGTTTATACTACCATAAATCATTTCCTCTTAAAGATGCCACACTTTTATGAATATCTGTTTATGAACCAAGAGGAGCTACTAAGAACAAAGCATCTTGGACCCCAATAGCAATCTGTGAAAAGCAGGCTGTTTGCTCAGAAACACTGCCAGTATGGTACCCTGGAGTCAGCCATGAAACTACGAGCTTTCATATATCACTGCTTGATACCTACGCAATTTTGTGCAGTACGGAAGAAATGAGACACCTCTCTGACTACATGTCCAAAATTCTCATAAATCTTGACGTAAGGTCGGACCCAGGAAGGTAACTGGGCTCTTGCGTCTATATTCATGAACCTGTTGTGAATTGAAAACAAGAACCAGCTTTGTTACAAATGCCATTTCTAGGAAGATGGTATTGCATAGACGAGGATAGGCAATCTGGTGCCTAGAGAAGTTTTTGTCTCGGACTACTACCGTGTTTCCCCGAAAATAAGACAGGGTCTTATATTAATTTTTGCTCCAGAAATGCATTAGGGCTTATTTTCAGGGGATGTTTTATTTTTTTTCATATACAACCATCTACATTAATTCACATACAGTCATGTCATCTTCTGGTTGCTGCACAAGGGTGGAGGGCAGGGTTTCACTTCACTGGGGCTTATTTTTGGGGTAGGGCTTCTATGACGAGCATCCTGAAAAATCACACTAGGGCTTATTTTCAGGTTAGATCTCATTTTTGGGGAAACAGGGTATAAGCCCCAGGCAGGATAGTCAATAGTCAGAGATTATCAGGAATCATCAGTATTCTGATAGCAATGGGTTGTGCATGTGCAAAATATTGTAGCACTTTGGAAACTCACCAATGTCCTTCAGTGTGAGCTAGGATCCTATTGAATCCTTGACCTTGCAGAAGCAGTCCCATCAGCCAATATCAGAGGAGGGAATCTCCTCCCTGCAGCCACAATGCACTCACAGCAGAATCATCATCATTTTAGAACTACAGAGCTGGAAGGGAGCCTGTGAATCATCAAGTTCCCTGACAAAGTGGGGAATTGAACTCCCAACCGCTGGCTTTGCAGCCAGATGCCTAAATCACTGAGCTATCTTTGATGTTCTCCTTCTCTCTCTCTCCCCTGCCTCTCTGCAGAACTCAGAATAATGTCTGGAAGGGTTTTTGAATCCTCTGCAGCAGATACACAGGGCACAAAGGGAGATCTAGCTTTGGGATTCTCTGATGGGCTTCTTCCCATAAGAACCCAACTAGATTCTGGCTAAAGGGAAAAGTATAGGACGGAAGAGCTGTGACTTGGCAGTTTGTACACGTAAAATGAATCTCATGGGTCACAAGTTGCTTTTCTCATATGTTTATAAATTCTAAGTTGAAACCTGCGAAATCAAGTTATGAGCCATGTACCAATTACTCTACTAGATGGCAGTACATGAGAACAAATGACAAATATTGGCCCAAATCCTGTTGCTTAGTATAGTAAATTACACTACAGTAAATGCACTGAATTAATGGAGATTTAGTAAATCACCTCCATACGTTCCATTGACTCAAATGGGTTTACTCCAGTGGCTGCTTATTTTAGCACAAATCACTACTAGAGTGGGCCCATTTGGAGTTGACTGACAAAATCCGCATTGCCTCAGTGAGCAAACTCTAGTGCAAATTACTATATTAAGCAATACGATTTTGGCCATTCACTTCTTGCGCTATCAGTGATTTGCATTATGACTACAGTGGTGCCCCGCATAGCGAGGTTAATCCGTTCCGGATTAAGCTTCGCTATGTGAAAACTTCGCTAAACATCGTTTAATGCGTTCCAAATGGGCACAAAACTCACCGTTTAGTGAAGTTTCCAGGGTCCGGCAGCCATTTTCACGCCCTCCCCTTGCTTACCGAGGGCGCAAAAATGCTGCGCGCGGCCATTTTAGGCGTCCGGTGGCCATTTTGAAACCGCCGAACAGCTGATCTGCGGGCGTCCCAAAGCGAAGATCGGTAAGCGAAACGCTTACTGATCTTCGCTATGCGAGTTTTGCCCATTGGGGCCGACGCTATGCCTCCGCATTAGCGATCCCGAAAATGGGATCGCTATGCGGATTCGTCGTTATACGGTGCGCTCGTTAAGCGAGGCACCACTGTATTCTGTCAAGGTACTTATTTGCATGTGGACCAAATCACTTGTAAAGAAGAATACTAGTTGTACAAGGAACTTCAATAATTAGCTTGACCACACAGCAATCTTCCCCTTCAGCACAGATGTTTACATGTGAAAAATGTAATGATTACAAACTTTTACACCTGAACACCTGTGATTGCAATTTCCTTGGCATGCAGAACATGTCGCAAAGAAAGAACACAAACAAAGTTACTTTTCCAGGCATAACATCTCAGGCAGGAAAGCAAGGAAGCGGCATTGGGTGCAAAGGATTCAAGCAGAAGGAAGAGAAGGGAGTTCACTCTAGAAATTTTAATCAAACATGAAGGATAGTTACCTGTGGTCACAGAGGAAGATGGCACCATAGTCCTGTCGGTGCCGGATGACTCTGCCTATGGCCTGGTTTACTGCGCGAGAAGCCTGCTGTTTGTACCAGTGGTTCCCAGATAAATACTGATGGGGGGAAGACAGTGTTTTGGTTTTTATTTGAAGGGTCCCCTTTTTCACAGCTTTGAGCCCAACCCCTCCCCACTTTTAAGGACCAAAATTGAATGCTGCCCTTTAAAGAACGACGTGGCCTGAAAAAAGATTAGCAAAGCATACGTACTTATAGTCCCTTAGCTGTCTGCCATCAGGGCATATATTATGCTTTCAGTTTACAGTCAGTAAAAATCAACAATGGATCAGAGGATTTTGTGTTACAAAATCAAACAAAGTCAAACCACAATAAACCCATTTTACAATAATCTCTGATGTACCTGTTTGAGATATTTATTTAATCATCTTTACATACTTAACGGGCAGAGAGAGGCGTCCTTAATACTGGGTCTACGGACGGATTATTCCGAAGTAAAATTTGTAACAAATTACTGATCAAAACACAGCGGTGTGTTCATCTGACCCTCCAAGGTAAACAAAAGATATGCATAAATAGATAATGGGTTAGCACCGCTTTACGTCTGGTCTGCTGCCAGCTTCGAACAAATAAATCTGATTATATTTTAATGGACCCAAACCACATTTCTAGCAATCCTCGTATAAATAATCCTGCCAATTTTGGAAACTTTCAGCCACACTAATGATCATTAAAGAAGTTATTGGGGTGGGGTGGGGAATTCACACAAAAAACCCCCTATGAGGCCACCTAGAGTAGTCCCAATGACCAGATAGGTGGGGTATAAATAGAATAAATAATAATAATAATAAGAAGAAGAAGCATTCAAGCAATCTGTTATGATTTTCGGTCATTACCTGTCCACCCGCACTTTTTGCTTTCATCTCATCCAAGAACTGCATCTTTAAAATGACTCTGGGGTCCATGCGAGGAGGAAAAGGGAGGCCGGTGATGATGACACCCCGTCCGTTTCTGTCAGCAAAGTCCAACCCTTCACTGGCCTGGAGATAAACAATCCGGTCACTGACATGGGTTCCTGGCAGAAACAAATTGCTGCACGACTCAGCATGCATCCTTCTCTCCCCATTTATCCTGCATCTCCACAGAGAAACTTGTTATATCTTGATTTATATTGGCTGGAATCCTGTTGCTCAGTAATAAAGATCATAACACTTTGTCCAGTCCTAGCCAGTAAATAAAAGAGCTGCTTCCGTGATACTTTGGGGTGGGCACACATTCACGGATTGGCACTCTGAAGAACTGCAGCAGCAGCTTTCTGTTTACTGCCTAGGAATAGACTGAAAGTAACCCGTTCTCATGCTGAAGGAAGAGCCCTTGAAGTCAAGGTACATATACTGGGGGAAAGGGCATGTACTAATGTGTCTTTTTCTGATCGCAGAAATTCTAGAATTATTTCGACGAAGTTCCGCACATGCGCGGATCACCCAGAGTGTGATTTACAGAGGCCACGAAGAAGAAATGCCTATGCCGGCTTCTTAACTTGTGGCAATTGGCTGCTGAGATTTATGTCAGTGGCATTATGCAGGCAGATGCAAGCAACAGGATTCTGGCCACAACAGTTGTATGCAACTCTTCTGCCCCAAAATGAGGTTTTCAGAATGGCAGATACTCATAAAAATAAATCATATGAAAACAAGGTGAGATTTAAAATAAAATGGTGCCTCGCACAACGGGTGCCTCACACACCGATGAATTCACACAACGATGCCTTTTTCTGTTACTGAAAAATAGAAGCAGTAACGAAGATCGTAAGAGAGGTAGTAGCAGAGAGAAAGCAGGAAGTAAGGTCACACGATCCACACCAGAAAGAACAGCAATGTTTGGTTTTTCTTCGCTTTGAGATGCTCCCTTTCCTGCTGGCAATGATGAGAACATTCATAATGTCAACAATGCCTTGCTCCGGAGTAAGCAATGTAGCGGAGCAGTGGCCAGTTTTGCCACTGGCTTTCTATGGGAATGTTCTCCGTTTAAAAGAAAGGTTGGCAAATACTGAAACATTTACAATTTGTCCCATTAATCAACAGCAAATATCTTATGTACAGATCCTAGTTTTCAGAAACATACCTTTCCACGACACACCGCCGTGAAAACAGCACCATTAGATTTGGGACAGGCAATCTTCTCATAATAGGCATCTATTACCTAGGAGAAAAACTCTGATCCATGAATACAGATGTGTGTGTTCTGCTTTTAATGACATACGCAGTAACTATGACTCCAGGTTTCTACTGTATTATGCATCAAGTGGGATCTTGTGCTCAAAGGACTTATTTCCATCTGATTTTATTTGAATTTATTCTATCTTGTGTTTTCTTGCTCTTTGCATCTGGGGCAATTACATTACGAAGAAGAAATGCAAATATCCCTTTGGCAAATATCCCTTTGGACATGGGGCTGGTTATACCCCCTCCCCACAAATTCCCAATTTTTGCTGGGGATGTAACTATCCCAAAACCGGAACAGTCTATAGTCTACAGTCTCTGTTTTAAAATCCCAGTGTGTGGGGATTAACTAAATGAATAATCCTTTCTTAAGAGAAACCTCATGGGGTAGCACTTAATGACATCAATTTCCGTGGAATAGAAAACAAAGCATTCATTTTTTCAGACCTCTTATGTTTTGACCAATTGTGTTCAAGACGAGACAAATGACAGTAACGAAGAAAAATGAAATGCAAGTCACGAAGATGTGGAAAAACAAAATAAAACATTAGGATTTCAATGGAATAGAAGAAAGATGGGATTATTTATGGATCAATTTGGTTGCTGAATACATATTTTTAACATAATAGTCCAAACTCTTTTCACAGAGTTTAGTATGGTGTGAGCTGATAACATCATCAGCTTATGCTAGCAAAATTAATTTTAATTAAATCCTTCGCATCCCTCCAACCCCCTTTTGAGGTTCTGATGTTCCTTAGAGCTCCCTTTTGCCCTGGCAAAGTCTCTGGAAGCCATGGGGTGGGGAGTTATTTGCCACAATTTGCTGCTGAATTGCCACCATGGGGATCAGGACTATGGGTGGCGATCTAACTGCTTTTTTTGGCAATCAAAGGCTCCCACATTCCCCAGTCCTGAGACTCCCAAAGGTTTGCTTCCCCAGACCAAAAGGATGCCCTTGGGAGCCTCAGAATCTCAAAGGTGGGGAACAGGAAGCATTTAATTAATTTAAAATACATGTTACATCATCAGCTCATGCAATGCAAAGTTACACACATAGGATGCAGTTGTTATGTCTGTAAATAAAATTATTTGCAATGATGCACTATATTTCCTTGAACACACTCAGATGATCTCACTGGAAAGACAGCATGAATAACGGACAAAGAGAGTTGTAGTGTAAAGCAAGCAAGTAAAGGAAGCCTCACCCTTGGTGTCCCTGTCTTTTGGAAGCATTTGGAAACGACCAGAAGAAGAGAATTCATTATACTGGAAACACCTTCCTCTTTAAAAAAAGGGTGCCTCCAGTAGCCGTGTATTAAATACAAATACATGCAACTTAATGGTTGCTGAGATGTTGTCTTTAAACAAGAATGTTTCACAGATTTCAGTAAGTGACCTTGTTAAACAGACACACCTGTCTGCTTAACAAGGTCAAAGGTCAAATGCCCAAATCACTTTCAACCCCTTGAAATTTATTAAACTAATTTTTTAAAAGCTGTGAATTTTTTTAGGATCCATTTAACTGTTACAGTACCATTCTAGCCATGCGGCCCTTGCTGTTTATCTCGTTTTAATTTTGATAATCCTACGCCTTTTCATATACAGTGGTGCCCTGCATAGCGACGATAATCCGTTCAAAGGTCAAATGCCCAAATCACTTTCAACCCCTTGAAATTTATTAAACTAATTTTTTAAAAGCTGTGAATTTTTTAAGGGTGCATTGCACTGTTACAGTACCATTCTAGCCATGCTTACTCCGATGTGGCTTACTTCAAGAGGCGTACACGTATGATTGCAGCCCTTGCTGTTTATCTTGTTTTAATTTTGATAATCCTACGCCTTTTCATATACAGTGGTGCCCTGCATAGCGACGATAATCCGTTCTGAAAAAATTGTCGCTATCCAGATTCATTGCTATGTAGGACTAAAAACCCCATAAGAACGCATTAAAACACATTTAATGCGTTCCTATGGGGAAAAACTCACCGCTATGGGGAAAATCCTCCATCCGGCCGCCATTTTCGCTGCCTGGTAAGCGAGGGCAGGGTGCGAAAACGCTGCAGGTGGCCATTTTCTTCACCTGGTGGCCATTTTGGAACCACCGATCAGCTGTTTATAAAACATCGCAATGCAAAGATCGGTAAGCGAAACACTTACCGATCATTGCAATGCGATTTTTAGGCATTTAGAACGTCGTTATGCAATAGAAAAAAACAATCACAAAAAACGCGTTGCTATGAGGATTCGTCGTTAAACAGTGTGCTCGCTATGGGAGGCACCACTGTATTTTAATAGAAAATGCATGCACCTTTTTTTCTTAACGAACTCACCTATTAGTCATGGAATGCAGACACAAGCTTTTTATCAGTTGTTTTAAAAAGGCCCAGAAGATGGAGAAATCTTTGTGTGAAAGGAAAGTATGCCTAACAAAATATACGGAAATGTGAGGAGTCCCCACCTACATAGGGAGAGAGCTCCAAAGAATTACATTAGCCAGTGGAATGCATTTATCTCATTTGCGACTACCTTTACAGCACCCCACATCCCAAACCCACTTTGAAATTCTCCTGTCTCAAAAGAAACAGGTTTTGAGCCAAGCGTCCCACAGGGCACTTGGGCAGATATGTGGGACCAGCTGCTCAGTCACTTTGATCAAGAACATGGTGATACTGGGCACTTGTAACTAAGGAGGTAATCCACATTACTCACTCTGAGTCAAATCTGAAACTTCGAGAAAAACCAATCCAAACCACAAAACATTGTGCAGCGTAGCACAGATGACACCAATCTACACAGCTCATATAGCTGCACTGGAAAAATCATGTACACTGCCACAGAAGATGCTGAGATCATTTCCATCTAAACTGAACTACTGCACAGCTCAGTGGTTTGGGAGCCAGAGGTTGGGAGTTCGATTCCCCACTGTGCCTCCTTGGCAGGGGCTGGACTCAATTATTATTAGGATCCCTTCCAGCTCTGCAGTTCTGAGACGATGATGGTAATGATAATAATATGAGCTGCCTCCTCATAAGAAGGGCCCTGCTGGCTGGATCAGGCCAAGGGCCCCTCTAGTCCAGCTCCTTGTATCTCACAAGTAGCTCCACCAGATGCCTCTGGGAGCCCACAAGATCCCTGTCTCCCGATTCCCCTCCCCTGCATCTGGCATACCTTTGTTTGAAGCCTGGAGATTATACATCCCCATCATGGGGGGATTCATAATCTCCTACAAATGACTGCCCTGTGACTCTGTAAATAGTATTACAATATTTACATTCTAGCTTTCTAGCCAGAGATATGGTCAAGGCAACTAACACAGACGCCCTGTTTCTACACAGCTTGCTGCTCGGCTGGAGATGCTCCTGGCTAGCCCAGCTGTATTCAACTAATGAGCAAAGTCTTCCTGGTTGCTCCACCAGCCTGGACCGGCTCACAGAATTCCTGGAGTGAGCTGAGCAGTGACGCTGACAAGGTTATGTGCAATTGAAGTCATCTGGAGACTCAAAATGTCAGCATCTGTTTCTGTTTGTGCAACTCTTCTTCTTGGATAAAAAGACTAAAGGAAGAATCCTGGTCCTCTCCTCTGGAGCTCTGCCTCCTCTCTGAAGTCCAGGACCCCTCTTAGGTGGGCTAGCCAGAGGGTGCTGCAGGGCAGCTAAGTGCCCTTGGAAGTAGGTGGCAAAAGCTCCTTCTCCGCAAAAGCCTCGTAGACCCGGCTTGCGGCCACCAGTCTGTGCGTGGGGTAGTCTTCCTGAGAGGCGTCGCCAAACTCTGCCCTGCCCCAGCTGGCACATCTCTCACCGAGCGAAGCGTAGGATGGGGAGGAGTGGGAGCCTGACCGTCTCAGGACCAGGAGGGAGGTTGTCTGTAGGGTTCCTCCGTTCAGGCAGCCTGCCTTTGAGGCTTCGTCTGCCAGCGGCAAGCCTGGCTTGGTCGCGACGTACTCCGGTGGCACAAGCTGCTCGATTTACTAGCCGGTCTCAGGATCACGTCTCAGGATTGTCTCCCACCCGTAGTGGCGGCACCTCCTGGGCCTGGCATGCCTCCCAGTCTACGATGTCTGCCCAACAGCCCTCCTCTCCAGTTTGCCCCCCACTTCCTTAAATCCAAGTCCCACCACGGCCGCATCTGCGACCTCGAGAGTGTCGTCCCCCCTCGCCAAAGCCCTAGTTTACAGATGACCTGTGGGTAGGGAATCCCGCCACTGCTCTCCGAGAGGCGGAGATCCCACTCTTGTGGCCGAGGGAACCTTCACCGGTCCCCTTGTTTGGCATTTAAGAACCCATTCCAGAAAAACACTTTAACTGAGACTATGCAATAGCGACTTTTCAGTAGCTTGCCTTGAATGAAGCCAGAGCACAAGAGAAATGAAATATATCAGGGCATGACAGTTCAATGAACGCTGTGAATGCTGATCCACTTTTCCTCCGATTCATTCATTCATAACTTGCCATATATCACAGGATGTCAGAGTTTTCCCACTGCTTCACCATCCCTAACTATTCTTGTCCATTTTACTGCCTGTTAGGGATCTAAGTTGGCTTGCACAAAGGTGGAGTATTTGTCATGTGCCACCAAGTCATATAGGGACGTGGTGGCACTGCGGGTTAAATGCAGAAGCTTCTGTGCTGCAGGGTCAGAAGACCAGCAGTCATAAGATCGAATCCACGCGACGGAGTGAGCTCCCATCACTTGTCCCAGTTCCTGCCAACCTAGCAGTTCGAAAGCATGTAAATGTGAGTAGATAAATAGCTACCACCTTGGTGGGAAGATCACGGCGTTCTGTGTCTAGTCATGCTGCCCACGTGACCACAGAAGCTGTCTACAGACAAACGCTGGCTCTACGGCAAGGAGACGGGGATGAGCACTGCGCCCTAGAGTTGAATACGACTGGACTAAGTGTTAAGTGGAAATTTTACTTTTACCTACCAAGTCAGAACTGACTTAGCAACCCTAATAGGTAAATGGTAAACCACTTCTGAATATTCTCTACCTGGAAAACTCTGAAAAGGGTCGCCATAGGCCAGAACTGACTTGGCAACATATGGTTATTATTTATAAGAGGAGAGTGAGAGATTTACCAGCTCTACACCCCCAGTGAGTTTTCAAGGCTGAGCAGACATTTGAACTCAAGACCTCCTGGGTCTTAATCTATCACTCTAGCCACCACACCACACCATATATCATGATATATACATAAATTCAAATATTAAAAATTTTGTGGAACAAGAGAACAGCCTTCCTCAAGGTTCTGAATCCCAGGAGAGACTCTCATACAGATATGTGGTCCTTCAAATATTCTGGACACAAGTGATAAAGAATTTTAAATGTCACTCATAAAGTAACTATTATACATTTTATTTATTCAAAATATTTTCACCCCACTTTTCTTCTTAAAAAGGCTGCATTTAAAGGCTAAAAACAGTAAGCATACAAATACTTAAAAAGCATCAAAGAAATATCATATTAAAATGGTAAATAAAATCAATACTAAAAACGGATTTGAAAGCAACAGAGTACAATGATCTCGAGAGACTGGAAACGTGCTGGAATTTTTAGCATGTATACATTACTGAAACAGCGACGGTCTAATGGTAACGTACTTTAAATGGAGGACTTGGAACATCATCTAGTGTGGCTGAGAAGGCCAATTCAAGAGTGACCATCCCTTCCACACTGAAGACAAATTCAGTCTCTCCCCTGTCCAGCTCCCTGATTTTGCTGGTTTCGGGACTGCCTCTTTGCCTCGGGCTGCTGTACAAATGTGTCTTCAAAATGGGAGAGGCCATGATGCACCGCCTGCCTCCAGGCTGAACGCTCAGGTATCAAGGTTTCCCATCTGTTGAAGACCAAACCTAAGGCCTTCAGATCCCACTTGCAGATCTCCTTGTATCGCAGCTGTGGTCTCCCTTTGGGGCAATTTCCCTGCACTAATTCTCCATACAGGAGATATTTTGGAATCCGACCATCAGCCATTTTCACGACATGTCCAAGCCAACGTAGACAGCGCTGTTTCAGTAATGTATACATGCTAAAAATTCCAGCTCGTTCTAGGAACTTTGTCCTGCCAGGTGATACCAAAAATGCGTCGGAAACAACACATATGGAAAGTGTTCAGCTTCATCTCCTGCCGTGCACAAAAGGGTCCAGGACTCACTGCAGTACAGGAGTGTACTCAATCACTGCAGTATAGCAGTGTAGTCAACGTACAACCATCTATATTTATTCAAATACAGTCATGTAATCTTCTTCTGGTTGCTGCCCAATGGTGGAGGGCGGGATTTCACTTAACTAGGGCTTATTTTGGGGGTAGGGCTTATATTACGAGCATCCTGAAAAATCATACTACGTTTTATTTTCAGGTTAGGTCTTATTTTCGTGGAAACAGGGTTTATCGTAACGTAAACACTAAACAGAGCCATGTGCTCTGTTTCTATTATTGCCTGAAACATTATTTCAGGGAACAAAAATGGTTAAGCAAGGAGGAAGAAAGAGCAATCTTGATGAGCATTTGGATGACTTTTTTTAATCTTACAAGTACCCTGTTTAACACTGTGTAAAGTCTTACAAACCTCTGTGAATGTTCCTTTGTTTCTTGGTTCCACAAACAATGGTTTCACTGCCTCTATTTTTCCTGCAAAATCATGCTCCTATGAAAGCAGACAGAATATGTCAAGAAAACACTTATGGTTTTATTTACTTACTCATTTATTTATTTTCTACCCCATCTTTCTCCCTCCAGAGGGACCCAAGGACACTTAACAATTACCAATACAGCAAAGTACTATTGAAAACAACTAAGTATAGTCATTATTTAAAGGTACTAAATAAAATTCCCTTAAGAGAATTTAAAAACACATTAAAAATTTTTCTCTCCCTTTAAAATACCAACTTGGGCAACAGTTCATACATCAAAAACAAACTTTAAAAGAATGGTCTTTGCCTGATGATGGAAGGATAGCAGGCAAGGAGCCATCCTAATCTCCTATGGAAGGGAGTTCCATAGGTTGGAAGCAGGCAGTGAAATGGCATCTACACCATACGGGCCTGTGAAGGCAGTACGACCAAGAAAAAGATTCCCCAAAGACTTTGAAACAGGAGATGCTAATATGGAGTGATACAGTCCTTTAGATCAGTGGTTCTTAACCTTTGTTACTCGGATACTTTTGAACTGCAACTCCCAGAAACCCCAGTCAGGACAGCTGGTGGTGAAGGCTTCTGGGAGTTGCAGTCCAAAACTCCTGAGCAACCCAAGGTTAAGAACCAGTGCTTTAGATCAGCGGTCCCCAACATTTTTAGCCCCGCAGACCGGCTAGGGAAGGTGGGGTACCCCCCTGCACATGCGCGAAGGAGCAGGGGCTGCTTGTGTGGGCACGCACATGGTCATGAACAAGCACAAAGGGTGGCACAGCAGTCATGGGGGTGCGCAGGTGCAAACGGGCTGTGCAGGGGCGGAGTGCGTGCAGGGGTGGGGTGGGGAGATCGGTCTCCACGGCTCGGTCCAGCTCAGGCCATGGACCGGGGGTTGAGGACCTCTGTTTTAGACGGCACTGGGCGTCTTAGGCTTGCAGTGGGCGCGCCCATGCGCACGAGTGCAACATGCCCAACTGTGAGCGCGGGGGTGCCCCTGCCCCGGCACACAGAACCCACCCCGGCCCCCCAAACTGATCTGCGGTTCCAAAAAGGTTGGGGACCATCGCTTTAGATGATTGGTCCCCAACTGGTTGGAGAAGCGGGCTCCGTGCGCGGCGGGGGTGTGTGTGCACGGACATACATGTTCCCTCCAACCTGGCTGCAGCATTGTAAATCAGCTGATGTTTCCAAACCGCCCCGCGTAAAGCTTATCAAAGGAATCCCAGCAGCAGGTAAGCATGGGAGGCATCATCAGGGCCAAGTCAGATGTCTCAAGGGACGGCCGCATCAGGCGCACCCGCTTTAACTGCAAATGCACTCCTGGCCACTACTGAAACTTAGGCAGGGAGGCTCAGAAAAGAATCCAGGAGCGTGCGGAAGCCAGAAAACTTGAGATTCCAGGGGGAACAGAACCCCATCCAACGCAAGTAAAATCCCTATTCCCTATTCCGATCGGTCAGAAGTGTAAGCAAAGCAATCTGCATTTTCCCCCAACCAATGTGTATTCCTTTTCAGGCAGCCAGAAAACAACAAGCAGTTGTGAGAAAGGAAGCCCTTTCTCGCAAGAATACCCAGGCATTGAGTTTCAATTGACAGTTCAACTTGTATGCTAGGGGAGGCAGGTTCCAAGGATCCAGAACCCCATTTCATTCCCCAAGGACTACACCGAGGATTCTCCCACACACAAGATAAAAAAGCCAGAAACAGCAAGATATACATCTCTGGTTTGATAAAAAAAATGTGTTTTTATGTTTAAAGGATGCAAGGGGGAGGGCTTTAGTTGGTTCCAAAGGTGAATCGCCGCCCCCCCAGAGGCTTCCGAAAATGCAATTTACCTTTTTCTTTCAAAAAACCACTCATGTTTTTCAATGGGCGGCGGGGGAAGGTCAGGCTGAAACTCGTGAGTTTAGAGATTTGACTAGTGTGCAGAAGAGATTAAAATGCATGTAGGATATTTTCCTGTTCTGTACTCCTGGGATGAATTCACATATTGTTACCATGGCATGGCAGCTTTGTGTGTGGTGAGGTCCCAAACTGGACCACAGAAGTTTATCAATGGAAACTGTGTTATGTTTGCTCCACAAGGTTTCTTCTGCAGTAAAGAACCAGAACAGGTGGACTGAGATCATACGAAAAGAAGCTCTTACGCTGCTGCAGGAACAGGAACTGGGACCAACTCACAACTCAGTCCACAGTTAAGCCAAATCCCCAGTCAGTCTCCCCCCCCTTTTTTTGGAAGCAGAAAACATGCATTATTGATGTACCTGGGCCTTGTGGTGCAATAGTTAAACTGCAGTACTGCAGTCAAAACTCTGCTCACGATCTGACTTCAATCCCAACAGGCTCAGATCGCTGGTTCAAAGTGGGCACAGCCTTCCATCCCAGCTCCAATGCACATATTGTTATTATATGACATCAAGTTGGAACCAAATTTTAGGGACCCTAATAGGGCTTTCAAGGGAAGTGAGATATTTAAGGAGTGGTTTCACCAGTTCCAATGAGTTTCCACAGCTGAGTGGCGATTCGAACTCAGGCCTCCCGAGTCCTAGTCTGTCACTCCATTCGCTATACCACACTCTTTTATCTATTGCTAATATAGCTGTCTGGAAAGGATTCATGTATGACAACCAAACTGAGTAATGCTTACGGCTCTGATATGTCAACTAAATAATCTAAGTGCAAAATAAGATCTTATATGATCTCCCAAATGGAAACCTACTCGCCAATATTCCAGAGTTTTGTCCATGACAGGATATGATGGGAAGAAGACAAGTAGCCCATGTGGTACGATACGAACAAGATTTCCTGGAACAGAACATAAACACATATATTATAAAAACCCAGTTCATCCTGACTTCAATATTGATTCAAACACTTTGTAGTAGGGAGACTGGCCTATAACTTTGGGGTCTAATGGTTCATTGCCTGGTTTCAGTACAGAGATTACTTTCATCTTCTACTATATTTCTGGAATCCGTTTGCTCGTCTTGCAGTTACTAAAGCGCTGGAGGAGCCATTTCTTTGCCTTTTGCCCCAACTGTTTAATTTGCTTGATTTGGACATCCCTGAGTCCGGCTGCTTTGCCATTCCTGCATCATTTTATGGCTTCCTCCAGCTCTGCCAATATGAAGGCAGTAGAAAGTTCATTGAATTCACTGTGAATTAACCTTTTATGTTTCGATTATGCATTGGTTGGTCTTCTCTACCAGGAGCAGCTGGCGTGCTATTTGGCTGGGGTTTATATTTGCATACAGAATTGTTTAGTTTTGATCACTGTCCAGTCTTTTCAGGAGTCTCCTAAATTTCTGGCTGCTTGTTGCCATGTCAAGCTCTGTTGTAGTGTCTATCCAGTGTTCCCCCCCGTCACCCTTGTGTGTGACCTTTGTCTATTCTATTGCTTCAGCTCCCAGTTGTCTCCAACTTGGAATTTGCCCGCTTTCTTATGGTCTTTAAGACATAATTGTAACATAAGAGCTTTCTGTCTTACCTATAGTTTTCCCAAGAGAAGAGAGGCACTCTTGTGAAAATCTGCAAATTAAAACAAACAAAAATGCTCAGTGTTTTGGGAAGTAGCTAAGATTTTCCACGAATGTAATTTTTAAAAAGATGTTTATCATGTTCTACCCTTGGGCATGACAAGCACCATTCCTTATTCTCTTCCTAGTGTTTGTCTAGCTGTCCATTTAAAACTGATTCACCGAAAAAACAGGTTCCTGCTGTTGTTTTTAAAAATGCTGCCATATTGTATTTGGAAAGCATGTTGGCAAGTCTATAAAACAGTAAAAATCAGAGTCATTAAACAACAACAAAAACACAGTGTTGGGAGAATCAATGCTGTGTGTGTCTCATCTTTCAAGACGATACATGTTTACTGAATTTTGTGGAATGGACCCCTTGATCTCTGGCAGTGGAGATAAAATCTCATTGTATAACTAACTGCAAAACATAAGTTTTGTTTTCTCTTCAGTCATTTTGTGTCAGCTTCCTGTGACTGACACTGTGCTTTCTCACACACACAAGCTGCTCTCTGTTCTTGGACCAGCTTTCTTCTCTCCTGCCCGCGTCTCCCACTTTCGTCCTAAATGAGAAAGTATAGAAGACTCGGTGCAAGCATCTTAACTTCTGCTCCTCCACTGTCTTCTCCCAAATCCACTCTTAGCAATTCCCAGGCCCCAACCTTTGCCCTGCCTCACAATCCTGAGAATTTCACAAAGATAAGCTAATCTCCCAAGAACCTGATCTTTTCTACTTTTCTGCATGTAAGGATGCAGCAGCAACAAGAGAAAAACAATGCAGCGTGAAAAGTCAGTGCAGTTGCCATTTACTAAATAGTTTCTCAAATGACAGAGTTGGAAAAACCGTATAAGGCTATCGAGTCCAACCCTGTGCTCAAGGCAGGAATACAAATCAAAACAGATCTGACAGAAGGTTGACTAATTTTTTTCTTGAATACCTCCAGAGCTGGAGTATTCGCCGCCACCTGAAGACATGCGTTCCATTCTCATACTGCTCTAACAGTTAGGAAGTTTTTCCTGATATTCAGCCTAAATATGGCTTCGTATAGCTTGAACCCATTATTATGTGTCCTGCACTCTGGGATGATCAAGAATCGATCCTGTCCCTTTTCTCTACGACTACCTTTCAAGTTTTTGAAAAGTGCTATCCTATCACCCCTCGGTCTTCTTTTCTCAAAGCTAAATAGGGCAGGCCGCAAGGCCTGTAACCACAGAGGGAGATCCAGCAGGGGCCCAACCACAGACTCACTGCCTCTCACACAGTGAGCTATGGCCGGCAGATGGTCTTTGGCTCCTTCTGGGTGTAGGCACGCTGGTCTGGTGCGGTCCCAGGGGCAGCTCCGGCCTGAAAGCTCTCTCTCCCCCTAGGCCAGGTGGTTGATGTTGAGAGGGGGTGAGGCAGCCGGGAGCAGCAGGCCGCAAGGCCTGTAACCACAGAGGGAGATCCAGCAGGGGCCCAACCACAGACTCACTGCCTCTCACACAGTGAGCTATGGCCGGCAGATGGTCTTTGGCTCCTTCTGGGTGTAGGCACGCTGGTCTGGTGCGGTCCCAGGGGCAGCTCCGGCCTGAAAGCTCTCTCTCCCCCTAGGCCAGGTGGTTGATGTTGAGAGGGGGTGAGGCAGCCGGGAGCAGCAGGCCGCAAGGCCTGTAACCACAGAGGGAGATCCAGCAGGGGCCCAACCACAGACTCACTGCCTCTCACACAGTGAGCTATGGCCGGCAGATGGTCTTTGGCTCCTTCTGGGTGTAGGCACGCTGGTCTGGTGCGGTCCCAGGGGCAGCTCCGGCCTGAAAGCTCTCTCTCCCCCTAGGCCAGGTGGTTGATGTTGAGAGGGGGTGAGGCAGCCGGGAGCAGCAGGCCGCAAGGCCTGTAACCACAGAGGGAGATCCAGCAGGGGCCCAACCACAGACTCACTGCCTCTCACACAGTGAGCTATGGCCGGCAGATGGTCTTTGGCTCCTTCTGGGTGTAGGCACGCTGGTCTGGTGCGGTCCCAGGGGCAGCTCCGGCCTGAAAGCTCTCTCTCCCCCTAGGCCAGGTGGTTGATGTTGAGAGGGGGTGAGGCAGCCGGGAGCAGCAGGCCGCAAGGCCTGTAACCACAGAGGGAGATCCAGCAGGGGCCCAACCACAGACTCACTGCCTCTCACACAGTGAGCTATGGCCGGCAGATGGTCTTTGGCTCCTTCTGGGTGTAGGCACGCTGGTCTGGTGCGGTCCCAGGAGCAGCTCCGGCCTGAAAGCTCCTATCACCCCTCGGTCTTCTTTTCTCAAGGCTAAATAGGCCCAGTTCTTTCAGTCTTTCTTCCTAGCGCTTGGTTTCCAGTCCCCTGTTCATGTGACCCCAAGAAAACCCATCAATTAATAACATGAAATTTTGCGTCTGTTTGAAGACGTCCCACTAAGGAAGGTACCTATGTCATATGGCACCTACTAATTAAATTACAATTGCAATCCCTTCCACTTTTAACATTCTGTATAACATCTAGCGTACTGCTAGCCATGAACAGAAAAAGGAGGAGTCAAGAGACGTTTTGCCAGCTTCTTGTTGTTGGGAAAGAGGCAGGAAGATCTTATAATGATATCCACCACAAAATGTTTCATCGTGGGCAGAATCCTACTGTTTATTTATACCAGCATAAGTTCCATGGGATAAGCAGCAGCAGCAAATGGTCCCTAGGTAAGAAACACACAGGACTAGCATATGAGACAAAGAGGAACACAAGGTGTAACTTGTTAATAAGCAGTTATTTGTTGCTGTGATTCATGCCACTGTGCTTACATTGACATAAATAACCAGTTGGATTCTGGCCACTGTTCGCAAAGCAACGGGCGACTGTCTGCAATCAGAAAAAAGCAGCTTACTTACAATTAAATGGCCTCAAATGACTCATGTGGTTTTATATACTCCAGATGTTTTCAATTTCTTTTAAATGATTTTAAAGGGCTTTAATATTCGCTGTATTTTCACAATATAATGAATGTAATTCTATTTTAAAGTTTGTAACCTTGTTGAAGACAGGACGGCCTGGCCTGCTCTGGTCCATGGGGTCACGAAGAGTCTGACACGACTTAACTAAACAAGTTGTTTAGTCATTAGTTAACTTGTTTTAATTAACGACTAAACAAGACTTGATGGCATGGTAGTTACATGCCATCAAGTCACCTCTGACTTAGGGTGACCTCCAAAAGGTCCCGTCCAGAACACCCCCCGGCTCAGCTCTTGTAAACTCAGGCTTGTGGCTTCCTTTATGAACTCAATCCACCTCGTAAGTAATCTTCCTCTTTTCCTGCTGCCTTCAACTTTTCCTGCATTCTTGCCTTTTCCAGTGAATCTTGCCTTCTCATGATGTATCTAAAATAGGACAGCCTCCATTTTGTCAATTTTTGCCTCCAGTTTGTATTTTAATTCTCTACTGCTTTTTAGCTGTATTGTAAGCCACCTTGGGTCCCAGTCTTGCTAGAAAAGCAGCATATAAACAAAATAAACAAATAAGCTACCATCCCTATTTCAACAACACTGTTTGTTTCACAGTCGTGGGACAGCAATAAAGACTGGAGACAGGGAAGAAAAAAAACTGGTTTACCTTTTGATACAAACGATAACATTTTGCATTTTTGAAGAATATGAGAGCTGAAACACTGTTATCCTTTCAAATACACATATTTCCAAATTTGTGATGCAGTTGTTCTCCCATAAAAAATGTGTGCATAAATATTAGGTGAAAGTGAACACAAAAATGAACGTTATCAAAATAACAAAATGATACCCCATGAAGAGTGTGTAATGAGGTACAGCTAAGTATAAAAATGTCTATATTAGGAGAAATGTGCATAAAAATGCATTCACATTTTCAACCAAACAAACTAATTAAAAGGGAACATTCTGAATTTAAAATCTGAAATTAACCAATAATTAATTTGTCAATAACGTCTGATGACAGGTTTGTAATACAGTGGTGCCTTGCTAGATGATGATAATCCGTTCCACTGAAATCGTTGTTTAGCGAAATCATCGTCTGGCGAAAAGCATTTCCCCATTGGAATGCATTGAAACCTGTTCAATGGGGAAGAATTGTCGTTGTGCCCCGAAGATCGGCCATAGGAAAGCCGCTTTGCAAACCGTCGATCAGCTGTTTAAATCGCTGTCTTGCGAAGCTTAAGTCCTGAAAACATCCATTTTGCGAGCACGGAGGAAGCTGTCAAAATTGTTGTCTAGCGAAAATTGGTTTGCGAAGCAGGGACCAAACATTGTCCAGCGAAATTCCCACATAGAAATCACTGTTTTGCGAATCGCTATAGTGATCGCAAAAAGTCAATGACTAGCGAAAAAACTGTCATGCGGGGTTACTGTCTAGCGAGGCACCACTGTATCTGCTTATAACACACGTACACAACACTTTGAGTAAGGCTCTCTAACAAGGGGCTTCATTTCACTTCTCCTAATGACTGTGACTCAACTCCCAACATGGAACCCATCCACCCTTCCCATTTCTTTCCTGGGGGGTGGAAAAAGCTTGTTTTTATTAGGGACTCAAGAGTCCCTAATAAAAAGGCTTGCCAAAGACTTGCCAACATCCCTGTCATCATCACTGCAGCTTGTTTTTATTAGGGACTCAAGACTTGCCAAAGACTTGCCAACATCCCTGTCTAAGATTCCCATCTTAGAAAACCTTGGCTTTCTATTGCATGTCAGCATGGCCGCTACACACCCGCAAAAGGAGGAGGAGGAATGTCTTGAGTGTGTGTCCTTAGTGCAACAGAATAAATGTGCAAGAGGAGAAAGCAAAGAGAGAGGGAGGAAGGGAGGGAGGGAGGCAGAGATAGCATATTTTCATAGAAGGAATCACCTTTTTTCATAGGTCGAACTCAGCAAACCTCCATCAGGTCCTTTAGGGATTACCCCCACCCAAATCTGGTGTTTATCAATAACATGAGGGTTTTCCAGGCAAACTGGGAAAGGTCTAAGGAGAAGGGGAAAAAAAGACACCAAAAGGTTATCAACTTGTCAATTCTGTATGGGCCACAGCTTAACTCTGAGCAGCAAGACCATAATCCAGTAGCAGCTAGAATGTTTATGCGGATATTCCTTGGCAATTGACCTCTGAAATCTACGATTTGCACTACTCACAGGGATGACAGATACAGTACCCAGAGTGGTCATAACGACCAGATAGGCGGGATATAAATTGAATGAATGAATGAATGAATGAATGAATCAATCAATCAATCAATCAATCAATACCTCTTACTATTTTTTTTTTTGCAATAGTCAGAAAGAAACTTAGTTGTGCAAACAGCTTTTTCTCTGGAAGACACCAACTTTGTTCATATCTCCAGCCAAGTTAGCTTCCCATTTGATAAATGTGTCTCCTATTCTCAGACAGAGACCGCTGTTCTCGCCTAAGCAGCCTGCACTTGTTCCTACTGTTATAAATGGCCTTTCTCCATTAAAGAGATCTAGATGCCTATATTCTACTTCCAGTCATCCAGGATCATAGGAATGCAGCCTGACTTGTTAATTTCTAAAAATTACAATAGCAGACTTGCTACCAAACTGAGAAAGTTATACAATCACAGGGTAACTGAACTGGAAGGGCCTTTGAGTCCAACCCCCTGCTCAAGGCAGGAATCCAAATCAAAGCAGATCTGACAGATGGTTTTCTCTCAATTTTCTCTCGAATGCTTCCAGCACTGGAGTGCTCACCACCTCCCGAGGTCACTGGTTCCATGGTTGTACTGCTGTAAGAGCTGAGAAGTTTTCCCTGATATTCATCTGAAATCTGGCTTCCTGTAGCTTAACCCCATTATTACGTGTCCTGCACTCTGGGATGAGCAAGAACAGAGCCTGCTCAAAGTATGACTACCGTTTGAATGTATTTGAAAAATGCTATCCAGGCACGCATGGGCATATATCCTTGAAACAACAGATCTAAAAACAACTGAAAACAGACGCATAATTTCCTCACAATAATGTAAAGTAAAAGTAAAGGTTCCCCTTGACACTTTTTGTCCAGTCGTGTCCGACCCTAGGGGGCGGTGCTCATCCCCGTTTCCAAGCCACAGAGCCAGCGTTTTGTCTGAAGACAATCTTCCGTGGTCACATGGCCAGTGCGACTTAGACATGGAACGCTGTTACCTTCCCACCGAGGTGGTCCCTATTTATTTACTTGCATTTGCATGGTTTCAAACCGCTAGCTTGGCGGGAGCTGGGACAAGCGACGGGCGCTCACTCCGTCACGTGGATTCGATCTTACGACTGCTTGGTCTTCTGACCCTGCAGCACAGGCTTCTGCAGTTTAGCCCACAGCGCCACCACGTCACAATAATGAAGCCTGCACAAATAACATTTGGAAGCCCAAGCAAAAAAGTTAAATCCCACCATGGGACACAGTTTGAAGAGTGAGCTTTCAGTCACACCACAGTTTCCGTTAACAGAACATCTCCCACTCAGAATACAGGGAATTTCCATGTGTGGTTGATTTCTGCTTCCATTTAACCACTCAAACGAGAAAACGTACCAGAGAAACTAAATAACTATTATTTGAGCCCGTTGCTTAAGCAGCATCCTGCCAATACCTGAACCCATGCCAAATACAAAACCACCGCAGCTCAACTGCAAACAAATCATTCAGAAGAGGACTTCTATAATAGCATGTCTCCATGTAAGGAAACGGATCCCAGAGGATAACCCCAGGCTCTGCTTGTATAGCATGACATTCAAGATCGGAGGACAATTGTTTAGATTTCATCAGTAAATATGTACAGTGGTGCCCCGCTAGACGCTTACCCCGCTAAATGACAAAATCACTTGACGATGACTTTTTTTGCAATCGCAAAATAATGTTTCCTATGGAGGATTTTCGCTTTACGTTGAATAGGTCCTTGCTTCACGAACTGTTTGTTCGCAAAATAATGATTTTTCCAGCTCCGCAAAATGGCTTCCCTTTGCAAAATGGCTGGCTTCCTTTTGCAAAATGGCTATTTTACGGACAGAAGCTTCGCAAAACAGCGATTTTAAACAGCTGATCGGCGGTTCTCTATGGCCAATATTCGCTGGACAATGAGGTATTTCCCCACTGGAATGCATTAACTGGTTTTCAATGCATTCCAATGGGATTTTTTTTGCATGATGACAATTTTTCTGTACAGCGATTTTAACGGAACGGATTATCGTCATCATGCGGGGCACCACTGTAGTGAGAATTCCACTTTTTTTTTGGTGTAACCTCGTACTTTATCTGAACCTTTGTCCCATACTGTGCTCTAACTGCCGAGTTTCTTTTCATAAGCACGAAGGAAGGAAACTTACATCTGCATTTCCAGAGTAAAAGATGAAAGAGGGGAGAGTGTCCCACTGGTAAGAATGATTGTCCGGACTCCGTGACGAACCAGTTCATGCATATTGTATCCAGGGCTGAAACACCAGTAGCTCAAGATTTTCCCTGTATGTCAAACAGAGTAAGTAGAAGGTTAAAAAACTTGCTCTTCAGGGGTTTCATCAAAGACCACGCTGTGCCACAGAATATTCCACTTCCTTGTGGTCAGCTATTGAAGGCATCCTCACCTCAAACACCCTACCATTTTTTAATTGATCTTGCTGCTCAGTCTTCTTCTCAGGAGAAATTAGAAGCTCGTAAACACACTGTGGTTCCAAAGTTCTTAACAAAATGCATGGCATTGTTGATGGTTTGAGAGAGAAAAAAGATCAACATACTTAAACATTGTTACAGGATAGGCTACTTATCTGAACATCATCTGTGAAGACAGTCATGAGTTCTCCATTAGGGAAAATATTGGAAAGTGCTCCTTCCTATTGAGGTGGTACCTATTTATCGACTCACATTTTACATGCTTTCAAATGGCTAGGTTGGCGGGCTAGGTTGGCGGGAGCTGGGACAAGCGATGGCAGCTCACTCAGTGATGTGGATTTGATATTATGATGGCTGGTCTACCGACCTTGCAGCACAGAGGCTTCAGTGGTTTAACCCACAGTGGCACCCACATCCTCAATGTGTTGGTGCTGGCTAATATGAAAGGTAGCATTTCAAGAAATTAGCTACCAAGGGGTACACAAGTGAAAAAAAGGTTGGGAACCACTGGTCTAGAGTGATACATTAGACTTACATGGACCCCACCAGCAAATGAGGCCTTTTGGTTTTAGTCAATCAAAAATATAACATCTTCCAGCAAGTGAAAAAAAGGTTGGGAACCACTGGTATAGAGTGATACGTGAGACTTATATGGACCCCACCAGCAAATGAGGCCTTTCAGTTTTAGTCAATCAAAAATGTAACTCTTTTAGCATCTTCCAGAAAAAAATACAGACAACCCTAACCTTTTTTGGGTACCCCCCAGGCCTCTTGTCTGAAACATCACTGGAATGCCACTTTATTCTCCCTCCTACAGTCTTGCAATGAAGGAAGGCACATATTTTAGAGGAGAATCATTCTCAGAGGCTACTACTTTTGCACATCCTTCTTTCTCCAGAACTTGGAAAAACTCAAGTGTACAAATACAGGATGGGTGACATCTGGATTTGCATGTGTATTTGAAAAGGCTCTCAGAGTAAAAGTAGGTCATGAGTTTAACAGTGTGATCCAAGAGCAAAAAAGCAAAGGCTGGATCAACAGAACTGTCACGTACAGATCAAAGGAAGTTAACAGAACTGCCTATTTTGCTTCGGCCAGATTTCATCTGGAATACTGTGTCTGGTTCACAGCAACACGATTTAAGGAGGATATCAACCAGCTGAAGCATGTCCATAGGATGATAACCAACATGGAAAAGGATAAAGAACCCAAGCCGTATCAAGAACAGTTGCGCAAACTAGTTGTTTAGCCCAAAGAAGAGAAGGTTGACAGAAGGAGACCAAAAAGCTATCTTCAAGTATCCGAAGGGATGTCACACAGAAGATGAAGCAAGCTCGGTTTTTGCTATTCATGAGGGTTGGAGTCAAATTAATGGATTGAATTTGCAAGATGGAGGGAGGACTGGGAAACTGAGATTGTAAGCAACGCCTTTCTTATTTCCATTCTCAGTAATATTGTACGCAAGTCGTATAAATTACGTACATTGTTTTCTGCAGCATCCACATAATTTCTAAACAATACCAAATAAAAATATTTCCCTTCCAGAAAAGCACATATGCTGTGCAGCTTTTCTGCAAGAGTTTCCTGAAAATGAAGATCAAGCCATGCTATTTACACAGTGAAGTACATATACTGTACATGATTTTTCTCTTCATTGTAACTTGGCATGGGTAAAATAAATATTTTTTTCTTAGAATTACTTAGGGCAATTACTGTGGAAAATTTTGGAGATGAGGTTATGAAGATAATGCAGCTAGCAAACAAACTCATCTCTATTCTTTAGCACCCGTCTTAACATCTTATCCACAGTCCTTGCCCCCACACGAACACAGAATCGAGTCTTCCAACCACAATATCAGAGATGCAATCACTATCTCTATTCTTTAGCACCCGTCTTAACATGTTATCCACAGTCCTTGCCCCACACGAACACAGAATTGAGTCTTCCAACCACAATGTCAGATGTGCAATCACCGAATCATCAGTGGTTTCACACAAACTAGCTGGAAGGAAGACCAGACTGCTCCTCCTCTGGGAGACAGCTGGTCTGAAAAACTTGCTCATCAAAAGCTGGGGAAAAAAGCAGCTGAAGAAAACTGGTTTAAAAGACCTAAGCGAAATGAGGGACACCTTGACTCCATTACCTTGTTTTTTAGTTACCGAGGCATTCCACAGGTCTGTCCTCTGCTTCTTTTTTTGACCATTAACATCTGGATGGATGTGGACCTACACAAACAGTTCACTTTTGTAAGGATGAAGGCAAAGAACAGGACACCTATCACCCAGGACACATTGATTTCATCTGATTTCAGGATCTAAGCACTTACTTAATATGTGGAAGGGAACACTAGCTGGGGCATGCTACGACTCTTCAAGTATGGCAAGGGAAGAACCTTGCTTGAAACTCTTGACGGGTTCCTGATGGTGAGAACGATATTGGGCAAAACCACCCAAGGGATCTGAGTCTATACAAGGCAACTCTCAGTGCACCACAAGTAACACTAGAGGGCTTTAATTTCTATTTAATGAATAAAAATGCACAAGATGTTCCTAGAAGTGACTGTTAAGCAGATCAACACAAAACGGAACTACAGTGGTGCCCCGCATAGCGACGATAATCCGTGCAGCAAAAATCGTCGCTATACGGATTTGTCGCTATGCGAAATAAAAAAGCCCATATGAATGCATTGAAACCCCTTCAATGCGTTCCTATGGACTTAAAACTTACCTTTTAAGTGAAAATCCTCCATACGGCGGCCATTTTAGTTGCCCAGTAAGCAAGGAATCCGTCCCCATTTTTCCCGGCGGCCATTTTGGAACCACCGATCAGCTGGGGAAAAATCATCGCTATGCGAAAATCGGTAAGCAAAACAGCTTACCGATCATTGCAAAGCGATTTTCCCCCATAGGAAACATTGTTATGTGATCGCAAAAACATTGTCGCTATGCAGATCTGTCATTAAATGGGGTGCCCGTTATGCGAGGCACCACTGTATTAGTCCAAGCAAAAGCATTGGTCACATTTTGGCAGTGCACTGATTTGACATTGCTAAACTAAAATGCAGTGAATTCATGCTAACCTAGTTGCGCAGCACCTGATCAACTTACTCCCACTTTATCATGAGGATTTGTAAATCATTCATAACCATGACTTCCCAGTACCCAAAAGCACCACAGCAAGTAAGTGAATCTTTATTGCATAATCAAAGGATCACTGCAAATTTTTAAAATTTGTTAATACACTGCATTAGAGCAACAGTACTATCATGCTATAGGTATCAGTAAAATACAATAGAATCATAGAATCACAGAGTTGGAAGAGACCACAGGGGCCATCGAGTCCAACGCCCTGCCATGCAGGAACAATGAATTAAAAATTATGCTAATATTAATACTTTACAAATGGGGCTGTAAATATAATTCTTTATTTAATTTTTTTTAGCTAAAAGCCTCTTTGCCACAGAGAAAATCTCCCTCAGAACAATATGAAGAATATATACCTTATAATATTTTGACACCGAGAAGTCTGGTGTGGAGTTAGACGTTCCTTCCGATAGACCAAAATTAAAAACAGTCTAAAGGCAAAGGGGGAGGGGAGAAAAATGCAAACTGGAAGTGAGAAAAATCACAGTTAAGAGTTCTCGGCAAGTTACCTAAGATGGATTACACGTCTGAAGGCCATCTCCACAAAAAAGAGGAAGAAACAACATGTCAACACAGAGCACATTTTCCCTAGATTTTCCAGTTCCTTTTCATGGCTGCCAACTTATTATCCAAGTTAAAGCACAGCCCAGGATAAAAGGACACAAGTGAAGAATCTACTGGTATTCTAACTCTCATTTTGCCAACATGCTCCTATTATTCTCTGCAAACTTAGGGGCGCATAGAATTTAAACGTAATTCTTGTTATCAGGCTATTAATATAAATGTTATTTTACATTCCTTTTGCCACTATCAGTACAAAAAGCAGATGCCTTAACGCTGTTTGTTCTAATTTTTAGAATAGAAGATCCAAATCTATGGATTATTCTTGTATCCAATTTTTTTAAAAAAAAATGTTGCCCTTTTATATGCTTTTTTACATATCATAGCCATTTCTGTGAAATTAAAACTGAAATAAATGGGATTGCTCTTACATAACAATGCACAAGACCATAAATACATCTACATAAGATGCCGCCTCTCAGCCTCACGAGGTAGTTGCAAAGGTTTTAAAAAGGGAAAAGGGAAGAGCTACGGGGGGGGGGGGGCTGTCTTTAGTTCACAAGAGAGAAGGCTTGAAATAAAGGACTGAGTGACTGGGTGAGGGCCATGGTTTTACCCCCGGAGAGTGGTTGTAACACATTTCCCAATGATCTGCCTGCTACTGTACTCATCAGAGATCATCAGAGATCCCGTCCTTCGTTCTGGGGCCATGAAAGGCTCAGGAGGTGGAGCCTTTCCAGGTTTGGCAGGGCTTTGCCATGTTCGTTGGCGATCTGTGGTCACACTTCGACTTGGTAAACCCCTTCTTAAACTATGGTGCCCACCACCGAACACAGTATATAGAGAAGGCTTGAAATAAAGGACTGAGTGACTGGGTGAGGGCCATGGTTTTACCCCCGGAGAGTGGTTGTAACACATTTCCCAATGATCTGCCTGCTACTGTACTCATCAGAGATCATCAGAGATCCCGTCCTTCGTTCTGGGGCCATGAAAGGCTCAGGAGGTGGAGCCTTTCCAGGTTTGGCACCCGGGCAATGGAACTTCCTGTTTTGGAAAGCCTAAGGAACTCTCCCCACCGTCCCCTTCAGGCGTTCATAGAACGACAGAACTGCAGAGGTTGAAAAGATCTGAATAGCCAGCCAGCCCTAAGCCCTACACAGCTGAAGAATCGTATCCGACACTCGCTGCAGGATCCACGCCCCAGACCTTCAGATCTCCGAAGACAGCTGCCCTATCACCTGTCAAGTCTTTCGTTTTCATGGCTAAACAAGCCCACCTTCTCTCACTCATTCCACGTAGGTAGGGCTTGGTAAACCCCCTCTTAAACTATGGTGCTCACCACCGAACAGAGTATGTTCCAGGTCTGATCAAAGCATAACACCGTGGTACTATTACATCCCTTAATCAGGACACTTTTGTTGATTAAGTCTAGAATGGCCTTCTTGCTGCATCACGGTTGACTCATGTTTGTTTAAAATATTTTTACTCCGCCTGCTTCCTTTAAAAGGACTCAAGGCGACCTACATCATTGAAAAATAATACTTAAAGCTGAAAAACAATGAGTATGCAACGTTGGTTTACATCATCAAAAGATAATATTTAAAGCTAAGAACACTGAGTATTATGTAAAAGGCAGCTTACATCATTAAAAGGCAATATTAAAGCTAAAAGAATAAATGTGCGAATACTAAAAAGGAACAAACACACACCACTCTGAGACACAGTGAACATAAGTAATACTAAAAACTCAGTCAAAGCAGCAATGTATAACAATCCATCTAAAAAAAATCACACTCAGGGAAGGCTTGCCTGAAGAGAAAGGTCTTTGCCTGCTTGCAGAAGGACAGCAAAGATGGGTCAGCCTGGCCTCCAGTGGGAGGGAGTTCCAGAGTTTGGGAGCAGCCACAGAGAAGGCCCTCTCCTGAGTTCCCATCAGATGCTCCTGTGAAGGTGGCAGGATGGAGAGAAAGGTCTCTCCTGAGAGTCTTAACTTCTGTGCCAGCCCATAATGAGAGATACAGTCTTTGAGATGGCTTGGACCCATTTTGGGCTTTACAGGTTAAAACCAACACTTTCAATTGTGCCCTCTTGTATTAATAACTGCTGTATAGATCAGTGGCTTAGATCTCTGGCTGTGAAAGCCGAGGTTGGGAGTTCAATTCCTCACTTGTGCCTCCTTGACAGGGGCGGGCCCTTCCAGCTCTGCAGTGCTAAGGTTGTTTATTATTATTATTATTATTATTAT